GCTCAGAGTGCAGGGGAGCTCAGAGTGCAGGGGGCTCAGAGTGTAGGGAGCTCAGAGTGCAGGGGGCTCAGAGTGCAGGGGCCTCAGAGTGCAGGGGGCTCAGAGTGCAGGGGGCTCAGAGTGCAGGGGGCTCAGAGTGTAGGGGGCTCAGAGTGTAGGGATCCAACGCTTTAAGGAACCAGCAGTGGGCACCAAGGGCTGCATTGGCCAGGATCCCACTCAGAGAGCGATGTGACCTCAGATGCCAATGATGTGGGTTCTGACAGGAGGCTGAGCCACAGGGATCTGTGCATCTCCCCACCGCGGGCCTCAGTCTTTCTTGGTGTGAGGCAGTGTCCTCAGGAGGACCTCCTGCAGTTCCCCGAGAGAACCAGTGAGCAAAAGGGCTGGCCCACTCCACATCCCAGGGCTCCTCCCTCCACTGGGCACGCTGGGCCCTGGAAGACATACCCTGGAAGGCAGCAGCCGCCACAGAGACAGGGTCCCGTGCAGGGGCGCAGCGATACTCGCCCTGGTCCTCCTCTGAGAAGTCCCGAATCAACAGCGTCTGCTGCCGACCCCGGCTGAGAAGCTGGAAGCGCCCACTGGGCTGGATGCGCTCTGTTCCCTTCAGCCAGATGACCTCACCAGCCTCGGCCACCTCACACTCCAGACACAAGTCCTCCCCAGCTGCCACCTGCCGGCTCTCAGGGGCAGGGGGTGCAGGCGTGGGCTCCCGGGGCTCTGCTGGGAGAAGTAGCCAGGAACAGGAGGGGTGCATCAGTAAGGACGTGGGCAGGGACCCCCAGCTTAGAGAGGCCTTGAGGTCTCCAGGCTGAACCCCCACCCTTATAATCCAGGACCAAGGCAGCAACTCACCAAGCCTCACTGTCTGGGGCAGGTACACAGGCTCCCCAGCGCCTGCCGCGCCCACTGCAGCCACACGGAAGCGGTAGGTCTCCCCGGGGACCAGGCCATCCACCAGGCACTCGGGCCCGGGCACCAGCTCGTGGCACAGCTGCCACTCTCCTGTGGCCGCTGCCTTCACCTCTACCCGATAGCCACAGAGACCGCCTCCGCCGTCATTCGTGGGAGCCACCCAAGACAGTGTCACGGAGCTGCCACTGCGCCCCACCACCTCGGCGTCCTCTGGGGGATCGGGGAGGCCTGCGGGGGTGGGCAGGAGGCACAAGGTCAGTGCAGCGGCTGGCAGTCAGCACCCGCAGCCCCGCCCACCCTGGGGTCTGCTGGTGGGGCACAGTATGGTCCACCCCTCAGAGTCCTGTGTGCAGCTGTGCCCTACAGCCCGGCCTTTCTGAAGGGGCGAGGATGGAGCGTTTAAGTCACAGGAAGACTGTGTGCCCAGAGGCCACCGAGCGTGGGGGGCCACGGAGAGCCCCCAGCAGCCTCTGAAGCTGAAACCTCCTGCCCCCTGACCTGTCTCCCCGAGAGCCCTGGACCCGAGCTGCAGCAGGCAGACCCAAGCCACCCACCCAGCACAGTGAGCCTCGCAGAGGCCACGGCATCACGGGCGGCGAAGGTGACCTCGCCGGCGTGGTGCAGCCAGGCCCGGTGCAGCAGCAGGGTGTGGTGGCTGCCTTCGGCGGTGACTGTCCAGTCTGCATCGTCAGGCTGCACCGAGGCTCCGTTTATGTACCAGGTCGCCTCACCCACCGGCACTGTCTCGCTGAGCGTGCAGCTGAAGCTGGCCCGCCCCCCGGCCAGCACGGCTGCGTCCCGGGGTGCCTCCAAGACCTCCAAGCGCCAGCCTGCGGGGCGGGGTGGCAGTGTGAGCTCAGGGGCCAAGGGGTGGCCTGCGGCGGGGCGGGGCTCGGAGACACCCATGCACCCCCTCCCGTTGCCCCCGAGAAGAGGAGGGCACCAGCCTCAGGTGGGAGTGGCCTCAGAGATCAACGTCCCCAAGGCTACCACCCCGTGCTCCTGTAGGCAAGTCTCAGAAATCGATGCCCTTCCCAGAGGCCCCAGCTTCCCCCCCCAACCCCGCACTCCACCCCTGACCAAGCAGCTGGGTACCCAGTGGGAGGAGTCTCTGAGACCCACGCCCCCCCTGCTGCCCCAGCCCTGGCCTACTACCCACAGCCAAGTATCCAGTGAGAGGGGTCTCAGTAACCTATGCCCCCTCCTAGGACCCCACCCCCCTCGCACCCCACAGTGTGATATCTCGTGCTCGTGGGAGGGTTCCAAGAGGCTCATGCCTCCTGCATCCCTGGCCTCAGCCCCTCCCCCTGCACCCAAGCAGTGAGGTATCCGGTATCTGGTGGGAGAGGTTGAAGAGTCCCAAGTTCCCACACAGTGGCCCTAGCCCACCCACCCCCGCCCCCTGCAGCGTGTGGTATTTGGTAGGATGGGTCTGAGAGACTCACACACAGCCTGTGGTCCCAGCTCCACCCCCAGCATCCCTGCAGTGGGTGATCCCATGGGAGGGGTCTCAGCGACTGACCGCCCCCCTACATCCCCACCCTCCCACACTCTTGCAGTGGGGTATCAGTGGGAGGGATCGCAGAGAGCCACCCTCCGCCCTTGGACCCAGCCCACCCTCCTGACCCCACAACTCTAACCCCGGACTGTGAGGAAGGCAGATGTCACCACGTCCCCCGCCAGGAAGGTCACCCGGCAGCTGTCTCGAGGCCGCAGGTTTTTGAGCAGCAGCAGGTGCCGCAGGCCGTTCTCAAAGTAAACCACCTCAGCGTTCTCAGAGGTGCGCACCGGCTCATCATCCAGCAGCCAGGTGTGGGCGGCCACCTCCGGCTGGGACAGGAGGCACTCGAACAGCGCCTCACCGCCCTCAGGTGCCTCCACGTTTTCCAGGCCTCTCACCACGGTGTTCTTGGCTGCAGAAAGAAGGTGGCTCAGGGCGTTCTCAGGGCTTCTCGAGCCCAGCACCCCCAAGAGTCACGTGGAAGAGCCCCCCTCAGGACAAAGGGCCTAAGAGAATGCAGCCAGGTGGGGGGCGTCTTCCCGAGGCCCTGCCCATCCCCATGCCCTCACCAGCCCTGCGGCTGGGAAGGAGGGTCCTCCCCACCTCAAATGTGAGAAGCCTCACGAATGTTCACAGACTGAAAGTTCATTGACAGCCACAGCCGGGCTCAAACCCAGACGGAGGTTTAGGCCTCTCCGCTTTGCTGCAGCATGGGGCTCTGGAAAAGTGCTCCATTCCTTTCCTCCCCCAGCCAGGCTGGCAGACCTGTCGGGCTCTCCCCTCACTCACTCAGACCAGACAGACCTCTGCCCTAATTTTCAGCCTGACCTAATTCTCTTGTACATACAGCCCAGGGGTCAGTCATAAGCAGCTATGCATTTTTCATGGAAGCCATGATGTCAGGCCTGGGCATGCCAAGCCCCAGATCCAGCTCAATGCCTGGTCCCCAAGGGCTTGCCACCTCCAAGAGTCAATTCCCATGACAGGCCACCTGGACCCAAGGTGATCCAGTGGTCTTCAAAGTCCACGGGGGCTTCCTGAATGAGGTGGATCTCTGAGGATGGGTAGGGGAGGTGTCCAGGCAAGAGAAGAGATAAGAGGGGACACCATGATGGGACTGAAAAGGGATTCGTGGCAGGGGGGTAGCAGGGAGCCAAGCCAGTGGGGTGAAGGATGTAAAACAAGGTGGGGGGCGATAGGCAGGGGTAAGGGCAGGCAGGAAAGGAGCACCACATCACCCAAGGCTGTACAGGATGCCGGGGAGGTCTGGCCTTGACCCACACGACAGCAAGGAGCCACTGCGGTCACCGAGGGGGTGGCAGCCTGGCCGAAGCTCCAGGTCCACAGCCCCAGCTGCTGTCTGGGGTATGCACCCCGAATGGAACCAGCACAAAGCCCTGATGCTCCCTCCTAGCTCGTCCACAGAGTCCACACACCCCTCGGGCAGGGGTGCCCACTCTGGACAGGGGTCCCCGAGGAGTTAAGAGGGGAGGGCATCTCAGAGCAGAGGACCCACGGGGCCCATCCACATCCCTCTCCTTGCCACCCTCCTGGCCCTGGTCTGCTCACATCACAGACCAGACTCCCCCCCATAACCCTGGCTCCTTTCCTCCCTAGGTCAGAACTGACAGAACCAACGGGGACCTTGGAGTGCATCCCACATCTCCACTGTGCTTGGACGGCTGCGACCAGTCCCATCAGGGCTGCAGCTGCTCTTGGCCGCGATGAGATGGGTCGGGGACAGGGAGAAGGCTGGGCCTGCAATCAGCACTGGAGTTCACCCTCCTTAGCTGCTATCCAAGGATCAAGGCTGCTTTATTTCTACAAAAGCCCAGATATTAAAGCAGCAGTGGTGAGCCCCTGAGGCCTCCCTTCTGCCACATCTCCTGCTTCTCTGCATTTTGTTCTCTACTCCCTTCCTGAGGCCTGAAGGTTCTGCCCCAGATGTCCACAAGCCCCCACCCCCGCTGCCTCCTTCAGGCCCAGGTCCACACTGCAGCCCCTCCCCACAGCTCTTCTCACATTTTCCTTCAGCTCCCACAGGAATGTCACCCCTGAAGGGAGAGTTTTGTCTGTTCACTGCTGAGCCCCCAGGGGCCAAAAAAAAAGTGTTTAAAAACTTAAGTTCTTGAACTAGTGTGTGAATGGGGTGTGAGCAACCTCAGGCAGCGTGTGGCCCAGACCAGGTCCCACCTGCTCTTCCCAGCTTGGATGGCCCCTTGACCACTGCCTGCCAGCTGCCAGCTCACTCACCACTGGGAACCTTTCAGGTTTTCCCCACTAGAGAGAGGCTTCAGCCAAATGGCACCTCTGCCCCTGCAGAGCTGCAGCCCATTGTCTCCCCTCCCTGGCCGCCCATAGGGTATCCTGGCTGTGTTGCAGGTAGGGAAGTGGGGCTCAGGGCGTCCTCTGAGTGACCAGCCCGGGAAGGGGCAGAGCTGGGGTCTGAGCTCAGTATTCGTGGAGCTCAGCCAGCGGCCCTCCTCTGCTCTAGGACACAGCCCCGTCTATGGCCACACAGGTCCCAGGCCTGCCCACCCACCTGTGTGCCTGGAAGCTGCCTCCCTGCCTGCCTCTACCTCCACGCCTCCCCGACAGGCTGTGCTGGATACAGATTCTTCAAGCAGCCTCTGCCCTTGTGTTTTCTAGCTGTGCTGTCCTGTCAGGCTGCCTGGGGAGGAGGAGGGGTCTGGGTGGGTAGGCTCAGAGCCTAGGATCTGCTTACTGGGGTCCCACCTTTCTAGCATGCTGTCCCTGCCTGCCATTTCACCATTATGGCTCCACGTGAGCAGTACCATAGCTGTGCTGGGCCTGGGGCTGCCCGCCAGACGGCCTCACCTTGCACTTGCAGCAGGGCCACCACGCGGGTGCCCGCGGCCTCACAAGTATAGATGCCGCTGTCGCAGGGCAAGGCCGGCCTGAAGGACAGCCTGGCCACGGTCCAGTCCTGCTCTATGATGACACGGCGCCCATCAGCGCACACCTCCTGCTCGTCCTTCGTCCACGTGGCCTGCACGGGCCGTGAGTACTGGCAGAGGAGTTCAGCCGGGCCACCCTCCTCCACTGCCAGGTCCTGCATGGCACTGACCACTTCCACTGTGGGATCTGTCGGCCGACAGGCCAGGCACGCGTCAGCTGGAGCAGTGTGACTGCGGCCCACCCACCCTCTGCAGTCAGCATCAGCGACTCGGAGGCCAGCAAAAGCAGGGCTGTGGTAGAAGGGGGACTCACCCCGGTGACCCAGGGCCCTCCATGTGGGGCAAACCTTGCCCCCATACACCCCCGCCCACAGCAGACTGTTGGCTCAGTCTCCATCCACTGGGCTTCTCCTAGCCACTGTTTCCCCTGAGCCCTCATTTCCTCTAGCCCAGGGCGCATGTTGCCCCAGTAGGACACAACAACCACTCCTGAAAGCCCTTGGGCCCGTTCGGGCTCCACAGCTCCGAGGGGCACTTGGCACCCCCAGCCCGACTTATCCCTTCTCCAAGGGCCTTGTCGCCCACCCCCTCAGGGCTCCCATCCCATCCCCATCTGCTGAAATCCTATCAACAAACGGTTTGTCCCTCTGACCTGGGCAAATGTCCACATTTATTCTGCCAGAGCACGGAGGAAGCCAGTTGACAAATATGCCAGTTGAAGCCACACTGGGCTGCTGTGCCAGAAGTGCCCAGTGCCCTCACTGGGAGGGGGGCTGAGGGGGTTCCCTGGAAGCCCACTACCCTCCCCAAGGACTAGCTCTTTCCCAGTAAAGGTGCAAGACCCTGACCAAGCCAACAGCACAGGAAGCAGCTACAAGCAAGGACAGTGCAGGCCATGCCTGGGGCTGGGAAAGCTGCCTGCACCTCTAGGCTGCTCTCTGGGCATGTGACTGAGGGAGGGGCAACCGCAGAGTGGTGGCCAGGTGGGCAGCCATGCCCAGGGCCCTATAAGCAGGTGGGAATGGGGTCGGCCTCCAGTTTCACTGCTGAGTCCGGCCTTCTTTCTCATCCCCCAGGTGGGACTGCAGCCTGCCCACAGTGCGCACTCATGGTACACACGGAGAGATGCCCAGTCTGCGTGTTGGAGGCCAGTCCCTGAATTCCCACCCTGGGAGCCCGCAGGAAGCATGCAGGGGCAGCAGGGGCAGAAGCTCCAGCATAGGGCAGGGTTCCATCGGCTGGTACCTTTGACCAACAACTTGGCCCTGGAGACCAAGGGCCCTGCCCGGAAGGTGATGGTGCCTGAGTCAGCGACCCCCAGGCCTGAGAGCGTGAGAGAATGGAAGGTCCCATCACGCACGGAGATGGCACTCTGGGGGCCGTCCTGCAGCAGGGTCCCATCCAGCCACCAGTGGGCCTCCGGCCCACCTGCACGGGACACCTCACAGGAGAACGTGGCCACCTCCCCCGCAAAGACGTCCACGTGCTGTAAGCCACGTATCAGGCACGGTGCTGCCTCTGTGCAAGAGGGTGAAAGGAGGGGAGCTGGGGCCACCCTGAGGTCCACCATGCTGGAGGCAGCCTGGGGCTGGGGTCTAGAAATCTACCCAGGCCAGCTGGCACACCTTGCTCACAGAATGAGACGTGAAGACCACCCATAGCCTGTGGAAAGCCAGCTCAGCCCCCCTGCACCTCACAGCCCCCTTCAGAACATGTTCGGTTTCATCAAAGGAGACCAATGACCTGCATCTCACCCTTTTCAGAAGGCAGAATTGACAAGCCCCAAGTCTCATGGCTGCCATCTTTATGGGGTTCGGTGTGGGATAGAGAAGAGAGGTCATGGGGTTCACCTCTCTGAGATGGAGGGGGTCTGCTCAGGAAGTGAGCCTTCCTTCCTGGGAGTGTGGAAGCAGATGCTTCTCCCATCCCCAGAGGGCCATTTGTCCAGATGTCCCCTAAGGTCCCTTTGGCCCTAAGATTCTGGGGCCCTAATGCAAAATGGCAATTTCCCCCTGACCTGTCACACAGCAGGGCATGAGCCCAGGGGGTTTCCCAGATGCCTGCACACCCGCCCCAGCCAGGCTCTCCCTCAGAAGCCCTCCACGTCCCTCCTAGGCATGCACAATCAACTCTCTAGTCCCAGGCCCACACCAGCCCCTCCATGTTCTCCCAAGAGTGCACATCTAACTGTATCCCCAACCTGCTCCACCAGCTCCCCATTCCCATCTTCAGCACAGTTCCCAAGCTTCCCTGTATCCCACCAACCACCCATCTGCACAAGCTCATGCTCATGGCTCTCTGCCTGAAGCCATAGCTGCTGTCTGTACATGAGCCAGTTTGCCCCAGCTGGGGACACTGGGTTGAGAGGGGCCAAGGCACTTCCCTCAGTGGGAAGACCCAACCCAGCTCCATGCTGCCTCTCACAGACACCCACTCTGATGAATACATGAGGCCCCTCCTGGCCTGACTCTGCTCAGGACACACAGGATACTGCCCCTTCCCATCACTCAACTTGAGGGCACTGCACTCTGGAGACTTTCCCAGCCCCACAGGCCACATGAAGACTCGAGGTGGGGACACCTGGGACTCAGGACACACTGTCTCCATGTACAACTCCCCCAGCAGACTGGGGACTCACTGAGGGGAGAGCTGCAAATGGCCCCTCTTGAGGTAGATAGTAAATATATGATGGACAGACAGTGGATGGATGAGTGGATGGATGGGTTAGTGGATGGATGGGTGAATGGATGGTGGATGGATGGACAGATAATGGATAAATGATGGCTTGCTGGGATGGCTGAATGGTAGATGGATAAACGGATGGATAGGTGGATGAATGGGTAGATGGTGGACAGATGGATGAATGGATGGACATAGGGATGGATGGTAGTAGAATGATGGTTAGATGGATGGATGGTGGATGGATGGATGATTGATGGTGGACAGATGGTGGACAGATGGGTAGATGCTAGATGCATGGGGAGATGGTGGCTCGATGGATGGATAGACGGATGAATTAATGATGGATAGATGGTGGATGGATAAATGTATTGATGGTAGATAATGGTGGGTGGATGGATGGATGGACGATGGATGGTGGATGAATGGATGGATGTTGAATAAATGGATGGACGGATGGATCGAAGGATGGATGGAATAGAGGGGTGGATGGATGCATGCATGCATAGATGGATGGGTAAATGGTGGATGGGTTGATGGCCAGTGGATGGTAGATGGACAGGACCAGTATGAGAACCAGGAGCAGGACAGCAAGGGAGGGTCTCTCATGGCCAGGTATCCAGAGATGACTAACTCTGGGGACAAGGTATAACAAGTTGAAGGTTTTACAAGGTATAACAAGTTTAGGTCCTTAAATCCTATTTGCATGTCTGGGCTCAGGTATACTATGCCCCAAACCACTCACGTGTCACAGGTGTGCTATTGTATCAATATCTGGGAACCTGTCAGGTATGCAGGTGTGTGTAAATGTGGACAAGAGCACACAAACCTGCATCAAAAGGAGTAGCTATATGGAGGGTACAAGTCCAGAAGGCCCTGCCTCCATCTCAGGGCCCAGGTCCCCAGCAGCCAGACTCCCCATCTCCCCTCCTACACACAGCACTGATCCCACACAAGGACCCAACATACACCAGAATTTCTCAGGCTGATCTTCACTAGCCCACCTCCAGTGGCTTTAGTGGTCAAGAGTAGAAAACTGTCACCCCACAGCAAGATCACTGCTGGAAGGCTCAGGTTTCTGGCCTTACCACCTGCCAACGGTTCCTTGAGTAGGGAAACATGGGCACCTACAAGCAGGAAGGCTGGGTGTAGGAGGGGGCTGCCCACCTGTGACCTTCAGCTGGGCCTCTGAGCGACATGAGCCCACTTGGAAACTGATGGTTCCGGCATCTTCAGGGGTCACCTGTGGAAGCAGAGATGGGGGCATCAGCCCAGCAGTGCCATTTCAACCACCCCTACTTTGCAAGTCCCCAGCCCATTTCCACTGGAGTTGAAACCTTCCCTCTCCCACCCCTGGGGGGTGGGAAGGCCCCTGGATGCATTGCGGGGCACAGGCAGGTCTGGGGAACACCACCTTGTGCAGGGTGAGCAAGTGGAGTGTGCCATGCTCCACCGTGATGTCGTTCATCTCGTTGGCCTGCAGGGGCACCCCTCCCAGGGCCCAGTGGGCCTCCTGGCCCAAGGCCCTTGACAGTCGGCACTGGAAGTGGGCGTCCTGGCCCTCGCTGAGCTGCACATCCTGCAGGGACTCCAGGATGGTCACCTCAGGGGCTGCATGGGTTGGGGGTGGGGTAGAGGCATGGCATCAGCCTCCGTGTCTGGGATGCCCCTCCCCCACCATCAGGAGCACCTCCCAGTCCCCAGGGTCTGCCCCCAGCACCCCTGCCCCAATCCCCGAAGACAAGCACACTGGGCACCACTCTACCCCAACATCTTGGGTCACCCCAGAATCACTCATTCACCACCAGTTCCCTACCCTCAAAGGCAGGAAACCTTGTCATCTATCACTGTCCCTTGACAGGGCCTGGCCCAAGGAGGACCTGGATGTTCTGGCCCCAAGCGCAGTGAGCAGTGAGGCCCAGCTCCTGCTACCTGTGACGGTGAGCTGGGCAGAGGACGTGTGGAGGCCCACGCGGAAGGAGACAGTGCCCGCATCCTCGGGAGTCACGCTCTTCAGCCGCAGTGTGTGGGTGCGGCCCCCCCGCACGGCCACTTCTGTCACCTCACTGCTCTGCAGTGGCAGGCCCTGGAGGCGCCACTCCACATCCACGAACCCAGCCCGCGACACTTCACAGCTGAACTCTGCTTCCCCGTCGGCCTGCACCTCGGTGTCAACCAGGCCCCGCACAATGGTCACCTCGGGCTCTGGAGTGTGGGCAAAGGGGGCCTTTACCAGCCAGGTCAGAGCACCTGGGCCAAGCTCCCGTGACCCCCGCCCCAACTCACCTCCAGGAAGCCCTCCCAGGCACTCTCGTGCTCTTCTCCTGCCACACAGCCTCTATCTGCCCCACGTGAGATTCATCACCCAGCTGGCTCACAACACAGCTCCCTACCACGACACTGAGCTACTGGGGACAGAGCTTGGGCTGGGGGCACCTCTGTCTGGAGGAAGCGGGCAAGGGACTGTGGGGTGGTGGGCTGCTTTTGTTCCTTCCCCCACCTGTGGCCAGCCCTGCCCTGGCTGGGACACCAGGGAGGCAAGACCTTCAGGACAGACAGGCAGGAGCTCACAGAGGGTGGCCCAGGCCAGGCTGCCCCACCTGCTGGCAGGGGCGGGAGGCAGGGCAGTGTTTAGGGCTACGGTTTCCTCACCGTCGACGCTCTTTTCTAGGGGCACCAGCTCCAGAGTGGTGCAGAGAAAGCTTGTAATCCCAGGGGTCTTACAGCCACTCCAGAACAGCACCCGGCAAGAGGGGGTACCGTGGTGGGCCAGGTGTGCCCCCAAGGCAGCTATGTGGGGAGTGGGTGTGGCAGGGAGGGCTCACCTTTGACTGTGAGGGAGGCCAAGGTTTTCTGGCTGCCCACCATGCAGGTGTACTCGCCCGTGTCCTTGGCCTCAAGTCCGTGGATCAGCAGCTCACACGTGGCCCCCTTGCGTCGCATCTCATACTTGGGACTCCCTTGCAGTTCCACACCCTCCTTGAGCCACAGCACGGGGGCCCCAGGCTCTGAGTCACTCAGCTGGCAGCACAGCCGGGCCACACCACCCGCCTCCTGCTCTGCACTCTGCAGCTCCGTCTTAAACGTGGGCCTAGGGGCTGGGGGGTCAGGGAGGGGCTCTTAGGGCTGCTACTCAAGGCGCCTGCCAGCTCCATGGGGGCTGAGGGGCCCGGGGAGGCCAGGGGCCCTGGGAAGCTCACCGCGGACAGAGAGGCTGGCAGTGCTCTGTGCGTGGCCTGTGTCGCAGGTGTAGGGGCCGGCATCTTCCTGCTCAGCACCGTGCACCAGCAGCTCAGCGGCTGTGCCCTCCAGCACCATCTGGTACTTGGCACAGGGGAAGAGCTGCAGGTAGCCCTTGCGCCACTCCACGCTGGCACCTGCCCGGCTCAGTTCACAGCGCAGGTGTGCCGTTGCACCCTCGTCTACCTCCTGGGCCTGCAGCTCCCGAAGGAACCTCACGGGTGCAACTACAGGGGTGAGGGAGAATATGAGGGCAGGTGCAGGAGCAGCTATGAGGGCAGCGGGGCCCAAAGGCGTGCAGCTAAGGTGGAGGGGTAGCGGGGGGGAAGAGCTTCAGGCCAGGTCTGCCCCGCGTTGCACGCGCGAGCCCATGTCACTTCCAGGGTGGAGGTGCGGCCCTGACAATCTCCCACAGTACGTGGGGCCAGCCTCGGGGCCCACCTGTGACGGTGAGGGTGGCACTGGTGGCCTGGGAGCCGCAGGTGCAGGCGTATTCCCCGGTGTCCTCCCGGCGCAAGTCCCGAAACACCAGCTCCGCCACGTGGCCCCGCTGCTGTGGCTCCCAGCGCTCGTCAGCCTGCAGCTCCAGGCCACCCTTACTCCAGACCACAGTGGCGCTGGGCTCAGACAGCTCACACCGCAGGCTGGCTGAGGTGCCCTCCTCAGCCTGAAGGCCCTGCAGTGGCCTCCTGAACACCACCTGTGGGGCTGGGGGGTGGGGCCGGGGGTAGAGGGCAGAGAGAAGGTCAGCCCCGAGGCTGGTGCCCAGACAACCAGCCAGGAGACTGGCACCCCAAACCCAGTCAGACCCACCCAGGGCCTAGGCCAGTTGCGGCCTGTGGCTTCACCCCAGCTGCCCGACCTGCCCAAAGCACCCAATGCCACGGGCTCCTGAAGGCTGTGGGTAGAAGTGGAGTCATGGGCCTGGGTCCACTCTAAGGGGAAGGAGGGACTGAACTGGGGGCTATGAGAGCAGCTCTGGATCTGACCCAGGCTATTCTCATGCTGATCTCCACCCAGGAAGCCCACAGACAGGCCTGTATCTCTCCAGGTCATCAAGGTGGGGGCAGGGGGATCTCCTTGGACCCCTAGGGCGGGGCCATGACTGTCAGATCCTGACTAGAGGCTTTGGGGTATAAGGAGAAAGTTGACTGCATTATGACGGGTGGAGGGAGGGGAATAAGGTGGGAGTTCTTTCCCTACGGCAAGCGTAAGCCACGTGAGGTCATTTGGCTGGAGATCAGTACGCAGACCCAAGGACACTGAACAGAGCTCTAACGGGGGAGCACAAGGGTGACATAAAGAAACTGCACATGGCACAGAGGAGGCAAGCACTCATGGGGGGCCAGTGTGGGCACAAGAGACAAGGGCACAAGTACAGGCTCCCAAGTAAGTCCACAGGGCCATCTTTACCCCTAATGGTCAGCGTGGCAGAGGTCCTCTCCTGCCCGCACACACAAGAGTACTCCCCGGCATCCGCCATAACCAGGCCATGAATCTCCAGCTCACACACGGCCCCGTCCTGCCTCAGGCTCACTCTGTCTCCAGCACTGAGGGTCTCAGGCCCCTTCCTCCATTCCACGGGGGCTGCCTTACTCAGTTCACAGTGCAGCATGACCTTGGCCCCTTCCGTGGCCTCTTCCTCCCTCAGACCCTTTGTGAACTTGGCAGGAAGGCCTGGAGATGGTCAGAAACAAACACTATCACGCTCTCTGAACACAAAGAAGAATCAGGATGTGCACAGTACAGAGAGGACACAAAACCCAACTGGACACCGACCACCTGATGGGTGTGCCCAGTACACACTGTGGACTGTGACTTTTACAGGTCCAACCTGTACATGTGCCACACAACAGACAGGGACCATGACAGGCACAATAAAAGAATTATGGAAGGAAAAGGATAGTGAGACACAATAGTAGAAAAGGAAACTGAGAGCACAGAGGTGATGGGCAGCCACCAAATGCCAGTCCACGTGGTCACATGTGATCTTTACCCCTGACAGTGAGCGTGGCTGATGTCTTCTCCTGCCCACACACACACGCGTACTCCCCAGCATCCTCCACGGTCAGGCCACGGATCTCCAGCTCACACACGGCTCCATCCTGCCTCAGGCTCACTCTGTCTCCAGCTCTGAGGGTCTCGGGCCCCTTCCTCCACTCCACAGGGGCTGCCTTGCTCAGCTCACAGCGCATCATGGCCGTGGCCCCTTCCATGGCCTCTTCCTTCCTCAGACCCTTTGTGAACTTGGCAGGCAGGCCTGGAGATGGTCAGAAACACACAAACACTATCACCCTCTCTGAACACACAGAAGAAACAGGACATGCACAGTACATACAGGAAACAAAACCCAACTGGACACAGATCCCCTGATGGGTGTGCCCAGTACACACTGTGGACTGTGACATTTAAAGGTCCAACCTGTACTTGTGTCACACAACAGACAGGGAACATGACAGGCACAATAAAAGAATTATGGAAAAATAGATAGCTAGTGGGAAGCAGCCGCATAGCACAGGGAGAACAGCTCGGTGCTTTGTGACCACCTAGATGGGTGGGATAGGGAGGGTGGGAAGGAGGGAGATGCAAGGGGGAAGAGATATTGGAACATATGTATATGTATAACTAATTCACTTTGTTATAAAGCAGAAACTAACACACATTGTAAAGCAATTATACTCCAATAAAGGTGTTAAAAAAAAAAGAAACCAGGGGGGACTTTGAAAAAAAAAAAAAGAAGAATTATGGAAGGAAAAGGAACAGGATAGTGAGAGAGCAGGGTAGAAAAGGAAACTGAGAGCAGAGAGGTGATGGGCAGCCACCAAATGCCAGTCCACGTGGTCACATGTGGTCTATACCCCTGACGGTGAGCGTGGCTGATGTCCTCTCCTGCCCGCACACACACGAGTACTTCCCAGCATCCTCCACGGTCAGGCCACGGATCTCCAGCTCACACACAGCTCCATCCTGCCTCAGGATCACTCTGTCTCCAGCTCTGAGGGTCTCAGGCCCCTTCCTCCACTCCACAGGGGCTGCCTTGCTCAGCTCGCAGTGCAGTGTGGCCGTGGCCCCTTCTATGGCCTCCTCCTTCCTCAGACCCTTTGTGAACTTGGTGGGAAGGGCTGGGAAAGTCAGAAAGACACAAACACTATAACACTCTCTAAAGGCACAGATTAGACAGGACATGGACATCACAGAGAAGACACAAAACACAAATGGACACGGGCAATGTGCTGGGTGTGCCAAGCACATGCTATGGACTGGGGCTTCCCTCGGCCCAGTCCGTTCAATGTGTGGCTGTGACACCTTCCGCAGACTCCTCAGGCCACATGTTTGTACGAATCTGCTGGGCAGGGCTGGAGAGGGTAGGATGGTGTGGGGAACATCAGATTCTCCGGAGAATACTGGGGAACAGCACATGCCTGGATGGAGTAAAAGACACAGACACTAACAGGAAACAGGACAGAACGTGCGGTGACATGAGGGGTGGAAAGTAGCTCAGATGCTGGTTGCTTGTGGTTCACACAACAGCCCAGAAGGAGGAAGGAATTCCGTGGAGCTATGGGAAGAGGGTGGCACTGAAACCAGGAGGGTAAGGAGGATAAGTTCAGGGTGATGCCATGAAGTCAATAATTGGACAACAAAACACAGCTCTGCTTGGCCACATGGGTCTTTACCCCTGACAGTGAGTGTGGATGAGGTTTTCTCCTGACCACACACACACGAGTACTCCCCGGCATCTGCCACAACTAGGTCACGGATCTCCAGCTCACACACGGCCCCGTCCTGCCTCAGGCTCACTCTGTCCCTGGCTCTGAGGGTCTCAGGACCCTTCCTCCACTCCACAGGGGCTGCCTTGTTCAGCTCACAGTGCAGCGTGGCTGTGGCCCCTTCCATGGCCTCTTCCTTCTTCATACCCTTTGTGAACTTGGCAGGCAGGCCTGGAGATGGTCAGAAAACACAAACACTATCACCCTCTTTGAACACACAGAAGAATCAGGACATGCACAGTACATACAGGACACAAAACCCAACTGGACATTGACCACCTGATGGGTGTACCCAGTACACATGGTGGACTATGACTCTTAAAGGTCCAACCTGTACATGTGCCACACAACAGACAGGGACCATGACAGGGACAATAAAAGAATTATGGAAGGAAAAGGATAGTGAGACACAACAGTAGAAAAGGAAACTGAGAGCAGAGAGGTGATGGGCAGCCACCAAATGCCAGTCCACGTGGTCACATGTGGTCTTTACCCCTGACGGTGAGCGTGGCTGATGTCTTCTCCTGCCCACACACACACGAGTACTCCCCAGCATCCTCCACGGTCAGGCCACGGATCTCCAGCTCACACACAGCTCCGTCCTGCCTCAGGCTCACTCTGTCTCCAGCTCTGAGGGTCTCAGGTCCCTTCTTCCACTCCACAGCAGCTTCCTTGCTCAGCTCACAGTGCAGCGTGGCCGTGGTGCCTTCTGTGGCCTCCTTGCTACTCAATCTTCTTATGAACTCAGTAGGTAGAGCTGAGGACGATCAGACAGACACAGACATCAGAGTCATGGGAGAACTTCAAAGGCAGCACATGACAGGACAGAGGAAAAGACACATACTCCTACAGGATAATAGGACAGAACCTGCAGTGACACAAGGGGTGGAAAGTAGTTTAGATGCTGGTTTCTCATGGTTCACACAACAGCCCGGGAGGGGGAAGGAATTCTGTGGAGTTATGGGAAGAGGGTGGCACTGAGGTGAGGAGGGTAGGTGGGATGAGTACAGGGGGATGCCATGAAGTCAATAATTGGACAACAAAACACAGCTCTGTTGGGCCACATGGGTCTTTACCCCTGATAGTGAGCGTGGCTGAGGTTTTTTCCTGACCACACACACACGAGTACTCCCCGGCATCTGCCACAACCAGGCCATGGATCTCCAGCTCACACACGGCCCCGTCCTGCCTCAGGCTCACTCTGTCTCCAGCTCTGAGGGTCTCGGGCCCCTTCCTCCACTCCACAGGAGCTGCCTTGCTCAGCTCACAGTGCAGCATGGCCGTGGCCCCTTCCATGGCCTCTTCCTTCCTCAGACCCTTTGTGAACTTGGCAGGCAGGCCTGGAGATGGTCAGAAACACACAAACACTATCATGCTCTCTGAACACGCAGAAGAAACAGGATGTGGATAGTTCATAGAAGATACAAAACCTAACTGGACACGGACCACCTGCTGGGTGTGCCCAGTAAATACTGGACTGTGACATTTAAAGGTCCAACCTGTACATGTGCCACATAACAGACAGGGAACATGATGGGGACAACAAAAGAATTATGGAAGGACAGGAACAGGATAGTGAGAGAGCAGGGTAGAAAAGGAAACTGAGAGCAGAGAGGTGATGGGCAGTCACCAAGTGCCAGTCCACGTGGTCACATGTGGTCTTTACCCCTGACGGTGAGCGTGGCTGATGTCTTCTCCTGCCCGCACACACACGAGTACTCCCCAGCATCCTCCACAGTCAGGCCACGGATCTCCAGCTCACACATGGCCCCGTCCTGCCTCAGGCTCACTCTGTCCCCGGCTCTGAGGGTCTCAGGCCCCTTCCTCCATTCCACGGGGGCTGCCTTACTCAGTTCACAGTGCAGCATGACCATGGCCCCTTCCGTGGCCTCTTCCTTCCTCAGACCCTTTGTGAACTTGGCAGGAAGGCCTGGAGATGGTCAGAAACAAACACTATCACGCTCTCTGAACACACAGAAGAATTAGGACGTGCAGAGTACAGAGAGGACACAAAACCCAACTGGACACCGACCACCTGATGGGTGTGCCCAGTACACACTGTGGACTGTGACTTTTAAAGGTCCAACCTGTACATGTGCCACACAACAGACAAGGACCATGACAGGGACAATAAAAGAATTATGGAAGGAAAAGGATAGTGAGATAGCTGGGTAGAAAAGGAAACTGAGAGCAGAGAGGAGATGGGCAGCCACCAAATGCCAGTCCACGTAGTCACATGTGGTCTTTACCCCTGACGGTGAGTGTGGCTGATGTCCTCTCCTGCCCGCATATGCACGAGTACTCCCCAGCATCCTCCACGGTCAGGCCACGGATCTCCAGCTCACACACGGCTCCGTCCTGCCTCAGGCTCACTCTGTCTCCAGCTCTGAGGGTCTCAGGTCCCTTCTTCCACTCCACAGCAGCTTCCTTGCTCAGCTCACAGTGCAGCATGGCTGTGGTCCCTTCTGTGGCCTCCTTGCTTCTCAGTCTTCCTATGAACTCAGCAGGTAGGGCTGGGCAGGGTCAGATGAACACAGAACATCAGAGTCTCAGGAGAACTTTGGAGACATGACAGGACAGAGGAAAAAACAGACTCCAACAGGACAGCAGGACAGAACCTGCAGTGATACGAGGGGTAGGAAGTAGCTCAGAGCTGGTTTCTCATGGTTCACACAACAGCCCAGGAAGGAGGAAGCAATTCCATGGAGTTATATGAAGAGGGTGACACTGAGACAAGGAGGGTAGATGGGATGAGTGCAGGGGGAAACCAGGAAGTCAATAATTGGACACCAAAAGACAGCTCTGCTTGGCCACACGGGTCTTTACCCCTGATGGTGAGCATGGCTGAGGTTTTCTCCTGCCCACACACGCATGAGTACTCCCCAGCATCTGCCACAACCAGGCCACAGATCTCCATCTCACACATGGCTCCGTCCTGCCTCAGCCTCACTCTGTCCCCAGCTCTGAGGGCCTTGGGCCCCTTCCTCCACTCCACCGGGGCTTCCTTGCTCAGCTCACAGTGCAGTATGGCAGTGGCCCCTTCTGTGGCCTCCTTGGTCTTCAGATCTTGGATGAACCGAGCAGGTAGGGCTGCAGAGGGTTAGATGGACAGAAACCATCAACCCCTCAAAAGGACTGGGCGTATGACCGTAACATTCAGGATGAGAACAGAAGCAGCAATGTGGAGGACATGTGAAGAGACAGACCAACGCATATATGACAGTGTGATCATCTTGCATCTTTCCCAGTGAGGTGCAGGGTGGCAGGGGACTGGTTCCATCCAGGCCTCTTGTCTTCTCAGAGCGCATCTGTCGTACCTATATCCATTCATACTGTCTAAGCGCTGACCTCATCTGCACCCAGAGTACGAACCAGGCTCCGCCAGCTCATACATGCAACAATGCAATGTACATCTCTCCTGGGAGAACCCCCAGAAGGCACCTTCCAGTCATGACATCAAGTGCCCCACTGACATCCCTCAGTTGTGCTCCCCACCCCAGGTAGAGTGTCAATCCAAGGACTGCCCACATCTGGGCTCACTGCATGCCTTCCCTGCCCACACCAGGCCCCACCTCATCCACCTCGCACATTCCTTTCCTTAACCCACTGGACTTGCACTCTCCTAGCTCAGGTCTCCTAGACCCTAATGGATTCTAGCTGTGGCCTTCTAACCATGCCCCAAGCCCTCCAACCTGCAGTCTTCTCCTCCATCCCAACTCCAGGAAGAGTGTGAGCTTCACAAGTTATAGCTGACCAGAGCCCACCCTGGTTACAACCTGTTGTGGGGTGAATTGTGTCCCTCAGAAATCATATGTTGGAGCCCTAACCCCCAGGACCACAGAATGTAGATGTATTGGGGGATGTGGTCTTTAAAGAGGTGACTGAGGAAAAAGGAAGTCACTGAGGTGGAACCTAACCCAACATGACTGGTGTTCTTGTAAGGAGAGGATGTTAGGACACAGATACACACACAGAGGGATGACCATGTGAGGACATGGAGAGAAGATGGCCGTCTACAAGCCAAGGAGAGAGGTCTCGAGGGAAACCAGCCTTGCCCACACCTTGATCTCAGACTTCCAACTCCTAGGACTGGGAGGAAAAAATTTTCTGATGTTTAAAGCCACTGTTATGTTGTTAAGCCATTCCGATTTTGGTACCAGGAGTGGGTCGCTACTGTAACAAATACCTAAAATTATGGAAGTAGCCTTGGAACTGGGTGATGGGTCGCAACTGGAAGAGTTCTGAGGTGCATGTTAGATAAATCTAGATTGCCTTGAAGAGATTATGGGTAGAAATATTAATGCTAAAGGTGCTTCTGGTGAGGCCTCAGATGGAAGTGAGAAATGTGTTATTGGAAACTGGAAGAAAGGCAACCCTTTAATAAGCAGCAAAGAATTTGGCTGAAACGTGTGCCAGAGTTTTGTGGAAGGTAGAACTTACAGGTGAACTTGAACACTTAGCTGAGGCGACTGGTAAGCCAAGCACTGAAGACGCAGACTGATTGCTCCTTGTTGCTTATGGTAAAATGTGAGAGAAAACTGAGTTATGTCAAAGAAGGAAGTATTTAAGCAAACGGAAACCAAACGTTGAGGATTTAGAAATTTTCCAGCCCACTGAAATTGCAAAAAAATGAGAATGCCTGTTCTAGAGAGAATACCAAGGGTGTGGCTGGAAAATCATTCAGTAAAGAGATGATGAGTGTGAGTCCTGGATCCAATCAGCCACCTCAGCAAAGTCAGGACTAGAGATGGGATTACCCAGGAAGGCTGTGTGGAAGGCTCTTGTCTGAAAGCTTGGACTCCTGTGAATTGTAAAGAAGACCAACAAGGCTTTTGAGAATTTTATATCAGCAGAAACCCTGCCAGCCGTGACTTAATCAGACACGGAAGGGACAAAATGATGGAAGCTGGGATTTCTATAGGATGGGTCAATACAGCTATCCGGCTGGGAACATGTGCTATCCTTCAAAGTTGGGAAGAATAACCCCAATGGCAATTCAGAGGTCAGCAGGGATGCCACTGCCTCCACGGTCCCAGAGGGCCACGCCACCTCTGTCCAGGGCCAAGGGGGTGAGGTCACCACTCTCGTGGGCCCAGAGACAGAGCATTGAGCCAGAGGATCATTCTCCAGCCTTAAAATCTAACAGAATCTGTCCTACTAGATGCTGGGTTTCTGTGAAACCAGTGGCCTCTTTCTTCTTTCCTATTTCTCTCTTTTGCAGTGGGAATATCTATCCCATGCCTGTTCCACTGAAGTGTTTTGGAAACATATAACTTGTCTGATTTCACAGGTTCACAGCTGGAGAGGAATTTTGCCTCAGGATGAATCATAACTCTAGTCTCACACGTACTTGATTTAGATGAGATTTAGATTAGATTTTTGACTTAGCTTGACACTGGAATGGGTTAAAACTTTTGGGTTTGGGGGATGAGGTAAATGTACTCTGCATGTGAAAAGAACATGCATTTTGGGGGACAAGATGACAGAGTATTATGGACTGAATCATGTCTCCCCTCAAATTCATATGTTGAAGACTTAACCCCCAAGAACTCAGAATGTGAATTTATTTGGAAATAAGGTCTTTATAGAGGTAATTAAGGATAGAATGGGGTCATGGGTGGGGGGGGGGTGCTAATTCAATCTGACTTATAAGTGTCCTTATAAGAAGAGGAGATTAGAACACAGGAACACACAGAGGATGCCCAGGTGAGGACAAAGGGAGAATACAGCTGTCTACAAGCCAAGCAGAGAAGCCTCAAAAGAAACCAACCCTGCAGACACCTTGGTCTTGGACTTCCAGCCTCCAGGACTGTGAAACAATAAATGTGTGCTGTTAAGTCACCTATATGTGGTATTTGTTATACAGCCCAAGCTTTCTGAGACAGAGCTCTTCAGAGCCTCCACACAATCTCCAAGGTCAATCAAATGCTGTTACCACACACAGGAGGGCCTGGCCTGTCTGGCCACCTGCTCCTTGAGCCCCTCAATGCTGCACCTCAGTCTTTCTGTGCACATCCGTCACTAACATGAATGACTCCACTCCACACCTGAGGTCGAGACCCCATGCATACCCACAGCCCCAGCCACGTGCCAGTGGCCCAGAGCAGCTCTCCTGGACCATGATGCCTCCCTGGGGGTGTCCTCACACCACCTGCCCCTTGGGTCTGTACCCGCAAGGTCTAGACAGGGCTGGCCAGTGCGTTTTGTGAGATGGATCAGACAGACAGTGACTGTAACCCTAAGACGACAGTGACGTTGGGAGAGCACAGAGCAGGTGGCAGAGAGAAGTCATTCAGGTGGCCACATGCAGTCTTTACCCCTGATGGCCAGTGTGGCAGAAGTCCTCTCCTGCCCGCACACACACGAGTACTCCCCGGAGTCCGCCACAACCAGGCCATGTATCTGCAGCTCACACTTGGCCCCATCCTGCTTCAGGCTCACTCTGTCCCCAGGTTTGAGGGTCTCGGGCCCCTTCCTCCACTCCACAGGGGCCGCCTTGCTCAGCTCACAGCGCAGGGTGGCTGTAGCCCCTTCCATGGCTTCTTCATTCTTCAGACCCTTTGTGAACTTGGCAGGCAGGGCTGGTCAGAAAGACACACACACAATCACACTCTGTGAGCACACACAAAAGGCAGGATGCGAACAACACAGAGGAAGCACAAAACCCAAGCACACATGGGCCATGTGCTGGGTGTGCCGAGGACACACTGTGGTTGGTGGCTTCCCTCAGCCCAGCCCCTTCTGTGGACTCCTCAGGCCTAATACTTTGTATTAACCTAGCAGGCAGGGCTGAGAAGGGTCAGAATGACATGGAGACCATCGGATTCTCTGGAGAAGTTTGGGGGCAGAATGTGACAGGATGGAGGAAAAGACACAGACTCCAACAGGACGACAGGACAGTACCAGTGGTGACACGAGGGGTGGGAAGTGGCTTAATTGCTGGTTTCTTCTGGTTCATACAACAGCCCAGGAAGGTGGAAGGTATTCCACTGCCTTATGGAAAAAAGGTGGCACCGAGACAGGGAGAGAACGTGGAATGAATGCAGATGGATGCAATGAAGTCAATAACTGAACACCAAAATATGGCTCTGCTTGATCACACGTGGTCTTTACCCCTGACAGTGGGCATTGCCAAGGTCCTCTCCTGCCCGCATACACACAAGTACTCCCCAGCATCCATCATAGCCAGGCCATGATCTCCAGCTCCCACACAGCCCCACCCTGCCTCAGGCTCCCTCTATTTCCATCTCAGAGGGTCTCGGGGCCCTTCCTCCAATCCACAGGGGCCATCTTGCTCAGCTCACGGCACAATATGTCCATGGTCCCTTCTGTGGCCTCTTCATTCCTCAGACCCTTTGTGAACTTGGCAGGCAGGGCTGAGGAAAGCTAAGAAGTCACTGAGAACATCAGACTCTCTCAGGGGACTCTGTGTCCAGGACACCACAAAAACCACACAAACTGCAAAAGAGCACAGTACGAACAAGTGGACAAATGCACAGATGGTGATGGAGGCAAATGCCCCAGAGGGAACAGAGAACACAAAGCACTGGACATGACATCTACTGGACAGGGAAACAGGAGCCATGAGACAGCTGGGGGAATCCAGTTGAAAAGATACAGAAAGCCACAGGATCCAACAGGGGAGGTGGTGACATGGAAACAAGTCCATTTGGCCTCACGTGGTCTTTACCCCTGACAGTGAGCGTGGCTGAGGTCCTCTCCTGCCCGCACACACACGAGTACTCCCCAGTGTCCGCCACAGCCAGGCCACGGATCTCCAGCTCACACACGGCCCCGTCCTGCTTCAGGCTCACTCTGTCCCCGGCTCTGAGGATCTCGGGCCCCTTCCTCCACTCCACGGGGGCCGTCTTGCTCAGCTCACAGCGCAGTGTGGCCGTGGTCCCTTCTGTGGCCTCCTCCTTCCTCAGACCCTTTGTGAATTTGGTGGGCAGGGCTGGGCAGGGTCAGAGTGACACAGAAAACATCAGACTCTCTGGAGACTTTCGGGAGATCAGGATGTGGACACTTGACAATAAAACACTCACACTTTGGAGCAAATAAGGAATAAAAGCTTGGACCCACAGACACATGGGTAGGTGGCAGTGCATGGGGGCAGAGGACAGACTAGGCTGAGCCCATCTAGATACAAACCAGCAAGGAAATGGAATCCTCAGTGAGGACCTCATGACATGGACAGACACATAGAAATGGCCACAGTGCCCACAGGATGGATGGAAAGGGACAGTAATCAGAAGGGATGTCCTCTCAGCATCTTCCATGGCCCATCCTGCCTCAGAGTGTATCTGATGCCAGATTCAAGGGCCCAGACCCCTTCCCCCACTCTACATGCCAGGCTGCCCAGCTTACACCACACCATGGCTGTGGCCCCCTCCAGGCCTCATTTCTTAGCAATTTTATGATCTTGAGGGATATACCTGGGGACGGAGACACAAAGAGAGCTACCTAAACTTTCCCACGAGTTTGCACCAGCACTCCCGCCTTGTCAACTCCTGCTGCTGCTGGGGCCAGAGCCCCGGCATGACTGGGCCTGAACAGGACTGACAGAGCTAGGAACACCACAGCTATAAGGGAAGCCGAAGCCACCCTCCTCCTGGCCTGTCGTCCTGGAGTAGGTGTCCTTGGGACCTGCATACTCTTAAAAGCAGCTCTCTTGGGCTGCTTGCAGCTGGTCAACTTGGGTCCTCCGCTCCTTGGCCACTGGTGGTGCCTCGTGCAGTGCAAGCTGCTCTTGACTGTGAGATAGGCCTCCAGGCCCACATCCCCTGTGGTCTCCTGGTGGGTCTGAACAGCGTGAGTGCCCAGTGTCTCTGCGCTGGAGACGCTGCACTCCATTCATGAAGTTCAAGGTGGCATGGTGGCCTGGCCTCTCCCCAAAGATCTGCGTATCTGTGCACATGACGGCCCTGCCCAGCCTCCAGAACCCTCATCAGGGTCCACCTTGTCTCGTGAGCATGGCCCAACAGGGCCCAGGATGTGAGGCCCCTGTGCACCTACAGAGCTGTCCTTCCTTCTGCGCTGAGATGCCCCCGGGCCCCTTCATCAATGTTGTTCACAGGACCCTCTTAGGACATGGTGGGTGGCCTCATCCTCTGTCCCATCTGCTACCCCCACAGGAAGTGCCTAGGCCCTCACTAGGGCAGGCCCCTGAGGACCTGGACCCCCAGCACAGGGAGCTGACCTATTGCCAGGCCATGAGCCACACCACAGCAAAGCCCCGTCCTGACTCCTCATCTCTGAGGGTCTCAGGCCCCTTCCACCACTGCATGGGGCTGCCTTGCTCAGCTCACAGCACAGCATGAATGTGGACATGGCTCCTCCCATGGCCTGCTCACGCTTCATAACTTTTTTGAATTGGCTGGTCAGGCCTGGGGAAGGTCAGACGGACACATAGACTGATGGACTCTGGAGCCTGCAGACAGGAATGGGCCACAGACACCATGCTGGCCACACAAGCACCCGTTGGAAGGGGGGCCCCGAGGGGACACCAGGCAAAATGCCCACAGTGGGCTGCTCTGATGCAAGGGGACTCCCACTACCCCGCTTCAAGGATATCCACCCAGCTGGCCGTCTTCCACCCCACAAAGGAAGTGGCCCTACTGCCCCCTAAACACATGGGCCAGCCCTCCTGCTCTAGCTGACTGTGCCCCACCCTCAAACTGTGACCTCTCATCCCGTGTCCCAGCCACAGGTCACCACGCCACGCCTGATGGACCCCCTTCTGTGGCAGTTGCCTAGAGCCAGCTTACCTGCCACAGATGCCAGACAGGGACCCCAACGCCAGCACGGGTGTCCACCTGCCCTTCCTGACTCTGGCTCTGCGCCTCTGTGCAGCTCTTCCTGCCCCTCCTTCCTCTCCTTCCACAGTCAAGCACTGTCCATACCCACTTCACCTTCACCCTATCCCTACACCCAGCCTCACCTCTCCTAACCACCAGGAGCTGGACAACAGAACCTAGGACCTCCCATCATGGCTCTCCCATGGCCCAGCATGCATGTCCCAGCTTCCACCTCTTGACACCCCGTTTGACATCCCACCCTCGAGGGCCACGCTTTGATCGACTTCCTAGCTTCTCTCTTGGCATGCCCCCTCAAGAGGACCATACTTCCACTCTTGTACTGTGTGGGTGCCCTCCTTCTCTCCCTCAGGCATGAGCCCCTGAGAGCAGGGAGGACCACATTCTCTGCTCTTTATCTGAGACGAGCCTCACAGAAGCAGGTGCTGGGAGACTCGTGCTGCAGGAATGCAGGAGATGCACACAGAAGCGAAAGACTGTACACAGACAGGGCAGAGCTCAAGGATGTGATCAAGCCCTCAGACACGAAGCCACTGCTCCACGTGGCCACACACAGTCTTTACCCCTGACAGTCAGCCTGGCCGCTGTTCTCTCCTGCCCGCACACGCACAAGTACTCCCCGGCATCTGCCACAACCAGGTCACGGATCTCCAGCTCACACACGGCTCCGTCCTGTCTCAGGCTCACTCTGTCTCCAGCTCTGAGGGTCTCGGGCCCCTTCCTCCATTCCACGGGGGCTGCCTTGCTCAGCTCACAGCGCAGCATGGCCGTGGCCCCTTCCATGGCCTCTTCCTTCCTCAGACCCTTTGTGAACTTGGCAGGCAGGCCTGGAGATGGTCAGAAACACACAAACACTATCACCCTCTCTGAACACACAGAAGAAACAGGACATGCACAGTACATACAGGACACAAAACCCAACTGGACACAGATCCCCTGATGGGTGTGCCCAGCACACACTGTGGACTGTGACATTTAAAGGTCCAACCTGTACATGTGCCACATAGCAGACAGGGAACATGACAGGGACAATGAAAGAATTATGGAAGGAAAAGGATAGTGAGACAGCAGAGTAGAAAAAGAAACTGAGAGCAGAGAGGAGATGGGCAGCCACCAAACGCCAGTCCACGTGGTCACATGTGGTCTTTACCCCTGACGGTGAGCGTGGCTGATGTCTTCTCCTGCCCGCACACACACGAGTACTCCCCAGCATCCTCCACGGTCAGGCCACGGATCTCCAGCTCACACACGGTTCCATCCTGCCTCAGGCTCACTCTGTCTCCAGCTCTGAGGGTCTCAGGCCCCTTCCTCCACTCCACAGGGGCTGCCTTGCTCAGCTCACAGTGCAGCGTGGCCGTGGTCCCTTCCGTGGCCTCCTTGCTTCTCAATCTTCCTATGAACTCAGCAGGTAGGGCTGCAACAAGGTCCGATGGACACAGACATCATCTTCATCCCCCCACAAAGGATGAAAGGGGCTGTATGGAACCACATAGGGTCACATGGGCAGAGTGAGTAAGTATACTTACCCTGTACGGTAAGCCTGGCCGATGTTATCTGGTCCCTGAAGCAGCAGGAGTACTGCCCGCTGTCCTGAGGCCGCAGGTCCCGGATGAGCAGTTCCAGCATGGTACCCTCCTGCCGCAGGCTGTACTTGCCTCCAGGCTGCACAACCTCATCTCCACGACGCCACTCCACGGGCATGGCCACCGATGACAGCATGCAGTGTAGTGTGGCAGCACCACCCTCCAGTACCTCCACGTCCTTCAGCCCCTCTTCGAACCGCACTGGCTGAGCTGTGGACAGGCATGAGCTCAGCTCAGCCCTCACCCCGCTGCCTCCTCCAGGGGTCTCCCCTGTGGTCAAGCATGGCTGAGAGCAGCAGCTGCAGGGTGCAGGCAGGCCCACCTCACTGTCTACATTGGGGGCTAGTGACGGTGACCTCAAGACCTCTGCCTCTCCAGGATGGTGAGCCAAACAGCAGGAAACAGAGAAGGGTGGAGTGTTATGGGCCACATTGTGTCCCCCAAATTCATCTGTTGGAGCCCTAACCCTCAGGACCCAGAATGGGGCCGTATTTGGAGATGGGGGTCTTTAAAGAGAAGACTGAGGTAAAATTACATCACTAGGGTGGGTCTTAATCCCACAGTATTGGTGTCCTTACAAGAAAAGGAGATTAGGACACAGACACACACAGAGGGATGACTGTGAAGACACAGGGAGAAGACAGCTATCTACACGCCAAGGAGAAAGGCCTCAGGAGAAGCCAGGCCTGCCAACACCTTGATCTCAGACTTCTAGTCTCCAGAACTGGGAGACAATAAACCGGGAGACACGTTTTTTTTATGCTACTCAGTCTGTGGTATTTGTTACCCGGAACCCGAGCTGACTGAGACAGATGGAGATGAGCCAAGCCAGGAGAAGGGAGACACGGTGACGTCAGAACACAAAACAAAGCTGGGAATGAAGTAAAAAAGAGATTGCTGGTCAGAAGACCAAGGGAGGGTGAGGGATGCTATCAGGACCATCAGAGACCCAGAGATGGGCAGTAGGGAGCAGAGCGAGTTGGATGAACTGCTGGAAAGATACAGGTGGACAGAAGGAGCCTCAGAACAGCACCCCCCCCCACACACACACACATAGAGGGCAGAGATAGACAGGGTCAGATAGAGTCCTGGAGTCCCCCTTGCCCTTAGCAACACAAGAAACAGGGGTGCCCAGAGTGCGGCTGGAGGCTGCCCAGCACCCCCCTCCAGGGGCTCACCATGGACCCTGACAACGGAGCTGCTCCAGGCACCGCCAGCCTCACACTTGTAGCGCCCACCGTCCTGAAGGGTGGTGTCAGTGATGACCAGTTGGGCTCGGCGGCCCTCATAGCTCAGACGGCACCGGGCCGACGGCCGCAGGGCCTTCCCGTCCTTGGTCCAGCACACAGGGTTGTCTAAAGCAGCAGTCTCACAGACCAGGGTCAGATCTTCCCCCTCCATGACTGTGGCATCTGTGAGCTCCCGGGAGAAAACACCTGGCTTCTCTGAAGACAGAGAGGGATGCATATGACACTTGTGGGCTCCTGCAGGAAAAGCCCCAGGTCTCACTGCAGACCAGGCAACACTCCTGGTCAGTGCCCACCTGTCCCCCTCAGTCTGGGCTGCAGACAGGGCTGCTGGGGGAACAGGACAGGCTCTGTGTGGCTCCACATACCAGAGGGGTGGGCCCAGCCTCTACACTGACCTTGAGCTCACCTCTGCATACCATGTGCAACAACGCATCTTGAAATAGCGCCACTCAGCCTCCCAAGCCCCGCTCCCTGGGATCCAAGGCCCCAGCCCATGGGAAGTCCATGGTGCCTTCTCTGTAAGCCCCAGGGCCTCACCCAGCGTGTGGCCAAGCCACTGTCTTGAGGTTGCATGCTTAGTCACACAGACTGGCCCCCACGACGGCACTGGGCACATGCAGCCTACCTATGACCTGCAAGGCAGCTGAGGTCCGCTGGTCGCCTGCCTCAAAATGGATGGTGCCTGAGTCCTTGAGGGCCAGCTGCCGCAGGGTGAGCACATGGTAGCCACCTGGCTGGACCTTGATCTCACTGAGTTTGCTGGCAGACAGTGGGGTTTTGTCCAAGAACCAGTGGACGGGCTTGTAGTCGGCAGGGGAGATACGGCAGCAGAAGGTGGCCGAGGAGCCCTCCTGCACCTCCAAGTCCTTCAGGTCCTCCGTGATGAGCACTTTCTGGCCTGCAGGGACACAAACGGGCATGTCAGTGACCCTCTGGCTAGCTGCCAAGGGAAACAGGGTGCTCCCAAGACCTGGGGTGGGCTCCCGACAGAGATCGAGCAAATGACTCTAACGGGCTCCGAATGACAAAACATAAAACGGTAAGTGGGTCCGAGCTGAACTGTCCAAAAGTATTTGTTTTAGATCCATCAGTGAGCCCCAATCCACCTCTGGGGTCCTTCTGCAGAGCACACAAGGTGACCCACTGTAAGGCCCGTCCATGAAGCTGTGCTCCCTAACCTGTCTAGGCCAGTTATGCCTGTCACAGAAATCACTTAACGCAATTAAATTTTGTATTAACAGAAGAAACGAGTGTGAAAAAAAGATGCATGGCTATGATAACATTTAAATCGAATGCATTGGAGGACTGACAACGTGAATCGCTAGAAAAAAATGTTTTGCTGTTGTCTTAGGTATGGTGAAACCTTAGGAAGAAGTTATAAATATAGAGGTAGATTGGCCGCCAGATTCCTTCTGCATTCACAGGTGTCTTGAAGCTATTGCACACCAGAAAGCATAGATAGCACATCAGGAGGGCGATGTACGCAAAAAGAGATACGGAATTCTGATTCGTGAACTGATACACAAAGAAAAGGCTCTGGCTGACACTATTAGACTGGTACAAGTCTGTGTGTTTTAAATGTTTTTAAAGACCATATGTTGTTGTCAGGGGACACTCTGACTTTTTTAAAGTATGAACATCTACTGGGTTGGCCAAAAAGTTCGTTCGGGTTTTTGGTAGCATCTTACGGAAAAACCTGAACGAACTTTTTGGCCAACCCAATACTTCATTAGATAGCGGTGCTTCTACTGCGCTACCAGAATGTTTTCACTGAGCTCAGTGGATTCACTGTATTTCACTGAAAAAGAGAAAGAAATCAAGAGTGAGGCTTCTTTGTTATTCTTTTGGGTTTTTTTTCTGTGGAGAGACCCCCCAGGAAGGACCTCCCCCTGACTTCACCCTGGACACCGGCCCTGGGATCTGGAGGGCTGGGCTCAACCCTGCCCTGATGTCTACTTGTCCTACAACCCTGAACCAGCCAACAACCCCGAGTAAAGGCCCAGTCTCCCTATCTGTGAAGTGGGAGAGTGATAACCCTCACCCTGCCTGCCAGGTGAAAACTGCTGCTCCAACCTGAAAATCTCCCCGAGCAAGTCTCCTTCCACAGGAGCAGAGGCGGTACATCTGCATGTACGTACATGCAGAGCTCGTGCAGGGGCACACGCTGGAAGGGTTCCAGAAACATTCATCCAGCAAATGGAGGCACAAATAAATGAGGGCTGCTGACTCATTTACACAAGGCCCAGCTGGGAGGGCCAGAGACAGGACCACCCAGGACAACTCCCCTTGGAGATGGGGAAACCAAGGCTGGGTTTGTCTAGGGCCAGGCAGAGTTCTGATCTCTTCCCATCTCCAAGTCTACTTGAAACAAAGCTTACACCTGAGCACACCATGGGCCTTGAAATACAGTGTGCAAATGAGAGCAGCAGCACAGTGACCGGGCCTAACCTTTCACCAGGAGCCGAGCCTGGGACTGGGCCTGGCCAATGTCACAGGTGTAAGTGTCACTGTCCGCCTTCTCCAGGGCGCTGATGGTGAGCCTCAAGGTCACGCCCTCCTGGCTGGGAGCATGCTTCTCCGAGGTTTGCAGCTCTGTGAGGCCCTTGCGCCAGGTCACTGAGGCCGCGGGGCGCTCCGTCTTGCAGGCAAACACAGCTGTGCCCTTCTCCTCTACCTGCAGGTCAGCCAGCTCCTCCGTGAACCGGTTTGGCTTTTCTGTGGGAGAATGGATGGGAGGGAGAGGCCTGTGCAGACCCCATGTAGGCCCTCAGGACAGGAAATCACTCCCATCACAGGTGGTTCTCCTGGCCCACCCACAGAACCTCAGGGACCTGAGCAAGCCCCTTCCCTGCTGGGCGCCCCTCCATTCCTGCCTGGAAAGAGAAGCCACAGGGGCTGTCCCAGGGTCTCTCATGGGGGTTACCTTCCACTCGGAGGCTGGCTGTGCTTTTGGAAGACTCCGTCTCACACGTGTACTCGCCAGAATCTTTGAGTGAGGCTGCATGGATGACCAGCATGGCTCGAGTGCCTTCGATGAGAAGCTCATACTTCCGACTCTTACGAATGGCTTTCCCATCCTTCAGCCAGCGCACTGGGGTCCCCTCCCGTGACAGCTCACACCTCAGCACCACATCCTCACCCAGCATGGTCCTCTGGTCTTCCAGTGGCTTCGTAATGTCAACTGGCCTCTCTGAAAACAACAGAGATGGTGGCCCAAGAAGCATGGCCGCAGCTCTACCCACGGCCACAGCCCTAGCCATGCCTGGGGTGAGGGCAAGGCAGGCATTCAGGAACCTTCAGGCTCTGAAGGTTGGGACCACAGAATCTACAGCTTTAAAACTTCCAACTCTGGAACCTCAGACCCAGGGGCCTCAGAGCCCTGGAATACCAGGGAAGGACCCCGGGAGGGAGAAAGATTAGACCACAGAATCTTATGTTCTCAGCACTGTTCAGAGTGTGACTCAAAGCATGGCCATGGGCCAGCGCTGACTACGGGCTGAGCTTTACCCACTGGCGCCAAGTACTCATGCTGGAAGTAGGAGCTCAGAAATGCCAATGGCAACTTCACTGGCTTCACGAGTCATGCACCCTGGGAGCTACCACAGCAGTCGAATCACGGACTGAAGATCAGAAACCCTGCTTCTGCCCCAAGCCTCCAGAACCTCATCCTAGAAAGGAAGCCCCCTGGATGACCAGAAGCCCCCGGTACTCTGACAGATGCCTTCAGGTGCCAACCAGGGGCTGGGGAGACAGTCCCCAGAGGCACCCCCTTCCGGCTTCCAAGCCCAAGGCCCCTGCTCCAGGCTGCCTGGGGAGGGCCCAGGCTCAGCAGCTCCCAAACCAGCCCCTAGGGACAGACCCCCAACCTGCCCCGGCCAGTCGGTTCCCACTGCCGCCATCACCCACCTCTGATGATGAGCGAGGCCTTGGAGGTGAGGCCCCGCACAGAGAAGACCACCTCCCCGGCGTCACTCAGCAGAGCATCTCGGACGGCCAGCGTATACTTGCGGCCCTGGCGTGTGGCCCGGAAGCGGCCAGAGCTGCCCACCGTTTTCCCACCAACCATCCACACAGCAACATCGCTAGCGTTCTCATGGGACAGGACGCACTCAAAGCTGCAGCTCTCGCCCTCCGTCACCTCCACTGTCTTCAGCCTCTTGGTGATGCCCACGTGCAGGTCTGTGGGCCAGAGGAGACAGCCGTCGCGCCAGCCAGGCCCACGGAAGCCTGCCCCTCGAGACAGGCACCGTCAAGCCTGTAGCAGCCCCAGTCCACACCCCAGGAGGGACGAGACCAGCCCACCGTCCCCAACCCCACTCCCAGAGGGCCTGCTGCCCCTCTCAGTGAATGTCCTCTTGGCCTCCAGCTGTCCACACCTTGGTTTTTGGATGGCTGACAGCTATGCGTTATGACCAGGGCGGCCGCCTTCACATTTGCTATGGAACAATGTGGAGAGAATAAGCGCCGCACACAGTTGTCACCAGCTTCTATGCTCCAGAAGAAGAACAGGCACCCAAAATGAACAGGCAATCCAGCTCTAGGACAAACTCACCACACCGCCCTCCCTTTCCTGTCCCTTTCCTGTCTAATCAAACACTGGCCAGACCATCAGGGGCCAGCCACGGGATCACAGGGCAGCAGGCCTGCCATGCACACAAGAGAGAGCAGGACTACGGGAGTGGAGCCAGGACAGTGATGCACCCAGGACGTCAGGCATCCACCCTATAGTTGGGGAACCAGGCCCAGACTGGCAGGAGCATGTGAAAAGCCTGTGGCCTGCCCACAGCCACCTTCACCAGGCTGTGCCATGCCCTGGGAGCCCTACTGGGGCACCCCCTGCCTGACATCTGGGGCTCTCCCACTCGCCCACTCCAGGAGGCTCTCCTGACCGCCCCTCTGTGGCCCCTGTGCCCGCCCGTACACATCCCCTGGTGCAGAGTGAATGTTTCCAGCCTCTGTAGAACCCTTTACACCTTGGGACTCTATCAAGCAGAGCCAGTCTAGTCTCCCAAGCTTTGCTCTGTTGCCCATCATCCCTGGTCCACCTGCCTGCACCTGGGCCTCCTAGGAGCCTGCCCTGACCTCTCCAGGCTCAGCAGAGCAGCCCCTGGTCTCGGAGGGTTGGGTGGGCCCCCCAGGCGGAGGCACCCCCACGCCCAGAGCCACGCCCCCAGTGCCCTGGCCCCGCCATCTGGAGCCGCTGCAGCACGCACCGTGCACGCTGACATGGGCACGGGTCTCATCAGTGCCCACGTCGCAGGTGTATAGGCCAGCATCGTCCCTGCTCAGGTTGTGCACCGTGAGTCCCCGAGTGCCCGCTGTGTACAGGAATTCATACTTGTCACTGGGGCCCAACTCCATGCCATCCTTTCGCCACACCACACGAGCCTGGTGGTCAGAGACCTCGCACCGCAAGGCCAGCGTGCCCCACTCCTCCACGGACACGTCGTCCAACGCCTTCAGGAACACCACTGGCTTCCCTGCAGGGAAGGTGTGGGCGACTGAGGGGACGAGCTGCCACCTCTGGCCCTCGGGGTGCCAGGTGCACATCCCAGGGGTCCCCAGAGACCCCACAAGGACACCTCACCTTTGACCTCCAGGTGGGCCGAGGCCATAACCTTGGGCGAGGAGGCGCATACGGTGCCCGTGTCAGCCCGTTGGACCTGCTTCAGCACCAGCGTGTGGCGGCGGCCCTCATGGGTAATCTCGTGTAAGCTGTCGTTATACAGTGGCGTCCCATTGAGCGACCACTCCACCTCCTCGTCCTCGTGGGACAGCTCGCAGGAGAAGCAGGCACAGCCCTCCTCCGTGACCTCCAAGTCCTGCAGTGGCTGCGTCACCGTCACCTCCCGCACTGCCAGGAGCACACCAGGCAGCTCAGCACGACCGCCATCACCGCCTCCCCTAGAGACCCTCTGGTGGCCCTGTGCCCCCTCGCTCTGTACCTTCCACAGTGACCTCAGCGCTGCTCTGGGCACTGCCGGCCTGGCAGCGGTAGACACCAGCATCCGCGGGGCTGAGCCGCAGGACGCACAGCTCTGCCATGTGGCCCTCCAGCCTCATCCTGAACTTGTCAGATGGCACCAGGGGTGTCTCCTCCTTGTACCACTGCACGGTCTTGGGGGATGGCTTGAAGTCACAGGACAGGACTACCGACTGCAGCTCGCGCCCCACCTTGGGCTCTAGTGGCCGCGTGAGCACCATGGGAATGTCTGTGGCGGAAGGAAAGAGGGAAGCACTGTGTAAAGTGGGCCAGACCACAAGGCCATAACACCTGCCCCTGCCCTGCCCGCTCTCCATCTGCAGCCAACCCGCCAGGCAGCGCACTCTTACCTGAGACGACCAGGCAGGCGGTGGAGCGTGATTTGCCAATGGTGAAGTGCACTGGCCCGGTCATGGTGGAGCAGGTATGCAGCAGCGTCAGCCGGTGCACTGTGCCCTCCTGTTCCATTCCCACGTCAGCCCCTGCCTGCAGCACTGTCTTCCCCAGGAGCCACTTAGGCGGCCGCACCGAGGGGATGGAGGTCTCACACTCGAACCAGGCAGGGGCAGGCTCCATCACCGTCACATCCTGCAGGCCCCGCACGATAGTGATGGATTTCTCTGTGGGCGAGCGGCCAGTCACTGGGGCAGTCCCGGGGGAGGACCACCAGCCACCCCTCCTGCAGGGTTGGTGTTACTTCCTGGGAACAAACCCTCTCAGGCATGCTCACTTCCTCCCTGGGGTGACCCAACGCGCCCAGTCAGGTCCTTCTCAGACCTGGCCACCTCTGAGTGCCACAGGCTGTAACACCTCCCCTGGCGGAAAAAAGGAACAGCTGCCCACCCAGCCCTGCCCGAACCTTCCACAAAGAACTGGGCACTGGTCTTAACATCGCCAGCATCACAGGTATAAGTGTCCTCGTCCTCAGGCTGGACAGCGTTGATGACTAGCTGGCGGTAGAGGCCGTCACTGACCATCTCATACTTGGCCCCAGGCTGCAGTTCCACGCTGCCCTTGAACCAGCGCACCCGGGCACTGGCCCTCGACATCTGGCACTCGAGCACACCGCGGTGCTTCTCTATTGCGATCTTGTCCCGCAGCGGGCGCAGGATGGATACTGGCAGCTCTGTGGGTACACCCAGCAGGGTCAGGGCAGGTGCACAGTGATCCCGAACACCCAGGGCTGGGTGCTGCGGCTGTGCATCTTCCAACCGGCCGGACTGGGACATCAGGCTCAGGCTAAACGGCCTATGCCGGCCCGCCCACCAGAGCCAGCAGATAGCTAGGCTGAGTGTTGCCCTCGGGCTAGTCTGGGACTCGCTACTCACATCTGACCACAAGGACACTGGGCACACACCCACACCCGCTATCGTCCAGTGGGCCTCATCACGCGCATGCCTGCCCCACTCCCCCACCCCACCCGTCCCCTCGCCACACAGCCTCACCCTCATCCTGCGCACCCCCGAATCCCTTGCACCCTGCCCTCACCTTAGGCATCCAAATGTCCCACACCCCTGCCCCCTACCTGTTTCTAGACCCTTTCTCCCTCATGCCCCTCAGCCACTTTGACTGTCATCAAGGCCACCAGGTAAAGCCTTGTGTGCTTACTTCCTGCCAGGGCCTCACACCTTTTCTCTCCAGCACTTGCTGCAGTCCCAGGAAGGAGAATTCATTGGTACCTCCGTTTTACACAAAGAAGGAGACCCCAAGGCTGCCTCCCCTAGACCACTTTCTTCCTGCCAAGGAGGGAATACCCCCTTTCCCTCCTCCTGGATCACTGCTGTCCTCATTCCAGGAGGGACCCCAGGACAGGGACAGCTGGCCTTTCAGCCCTGTGAGACTCAGTACACACGCTTGTCCACACACACGCTGTCCAGCCCATGCCCTGCCCTGAGCCGCCATTACCTTTTACTCGGAGCTGGGCTCGTGATTCTGCCCGTTGTGCTACAAATTTGATTTCCCCTGCATCTTCCACCAGGACCCTCCGATAGATGAGAGTGTATGTCCTTCCTGGGAACAAAGGCCACTCAGCACTAAAGGGAGGGGTGGCCTGGGGGCGGGAAGGAGGAGAAGCCCTGCTGAAGCCCACCCACTGTCCTCATCTCACCTTCCTGGCGGATCCGCACATTGTCACTGGGCCGAAGCTTGCTGCCCTCCCGGAACCACTGGGCAGGCACCTCATCGTGGGAGACCTCGCAGGAGAAGGTGGCACCCTCCCTCTCCATCACTTCCACATCCTCCAGAGGCCTCACGATCTGGACATTTCGGCCTGGGGCAAGAAGCAGGCCCTGCTACATCCTGACACGCAGAGCTATCTGACGGCTACCCCCCACCCCAGCTTGCTGAGGGAGTACAGGATGGGTGGGGCAAGAGCAGAGCCAGAGGGCCAAGCACTTGCTGGGTGACGCAGTGGGGGGCCAGGAGGTGCTTGCACCCACCCACCCAGCCCTCACCTTGCACCTTCAGGGAGGCCGAGCTCTGAGCATCGTGGGCATCACACACGTACACGCCCTGGTCCCCAAGCTCACATCGGTAAATGACGAGACTCCTGCAGGCCCCCTGGGCCCCCATGCCCACCGTCTTGCTCCCCCGCAGCTCCACACCGTCCTGTGGAGGAACGAGGCCAGGTTAAGTGCTGGAACTGCCCAGCAGAGTGGTCCCATTCCCGCCCACCCATGGTGAGAGGTAAGAGGGGGCAGAGGAGTCCAAGTCCCCAGGCACCTTCAACCAGCGCACATCCACATTGGGGCGTGAGAGCTCACAGTCCAGGACCACCTTGTCCTTTTCCGTGGCCACCACGTCCTGCAGAGGGCGGCTGAACTTCACAGGCAGCTCTGGAAAGACAGGACGGGAGTGGTGAGAAGCAGGGCCTCTGGGCGGGGACAGGGCCTGAGCTGGTTGGAATCATTCAGCTGGTTAACGGAATGAGCCCCAGGCTTCCCTGGTGGCGCAGTGGTTGACAGTCCGCCTGCCGATGGACGGGACACGGGTTCGTGCCCCGGTCCGGGAAGACCCCACACGCCGCGGAGCGGCTGGGCCCGTGAGCTACGGCCGCTGAGCCTGCGCGTCTGGAGCCTGTGCTCCGCAACAGGAGAGGCCACGACAGTGAGAGGCCCGCGTACCGCAAAAAAAAAAAAGAAGGAATGAGCCCCCCGCTCCTCCAGGATTCCATATCCCTGCCCATAGCTGCCTCCCTGGGCCACCTTGGGGACAGGGGCAGGTGCTCTGGAGTGAGTCCCGCCCCACCTATGTCCACCTACCAGTGACCACCAGCCGTGCAGATGTGTGCACACCCTCCGCCCTGAAGGAAACCAGGCCACTGTCCTGCCTCTGCAGCCCAGACAGCGTAAGGATATGGGTGGGGCCGTGCACCACCAGCTGGCACGTGGGTCCCGGCTGGAGCCGAAGGCCATCTCGAGTCCAGCTGCCCTCCACATCAGCATGAGACAGCTCTACTTCCATTGTGGCTGTGCCCTGCTCCAGCACCTCCACTGTCTGCAGGCCCCGCACAAGCCGGACCTGGCGCACTATGGGACGAACAAGGGGAAGGATGAGCCACTGTAGCAAGACCCTGGCCCTCGGTCCAGCCCCCATCACTTCCCCAGGGAGCCTCAAGGTGCTCTGGAAGGGGAGGCCTGCCCCTCCAGGTGGATGCCTGCCCCCTCCTTCACTCCCTTCCCCACCTCCCTGGCCCCTGCAAGTGAAGGTCCACCCCTTCCTCCAACTTTCCCTTTTCCCCCTTTTCCAGGGCCCTGCCCCCAGGGGGAGATTCCCTACCCTCCCCAACTCCTTGATGCCCAACCCCTAGGCCAAGCCCCCTTAGCTGCTCACTTTCCACAGTCAGCTTGGCCTGCGTCTTATCATCTGCTGTCTCGCAGCCGTAGAAACCACGGTCAGCGAAACCCACACTGCGGAGAACCAAGCGGTGACTTGAGCCCTCGGCGTGTATCTCCACATTCTCGCCTGCCACCAGGGCCGCGGCGTTGCGTGTCCACTTGACCTCCGGCCATGGCCGCGTCAGCTCCACCTCCATGGTCACCGAGCTCCACTCTTCCACAGTCTGTGGCTCCAGCTTTTTTTTGAACAACACTGGGGCCTCTGGAGTCACAGGAGAGGGAGGTCATTACAGCCACTGCCACTCTCAGGAAAGCAGGGCAGAGGGACCCTGCCCCAACCCCCAGCCAGCAGAGCTGCCCTCCACCACATTCTGACTCCAAGCTAGGCAAGGCCTTGGCCATACTCGGGGCCCAGCGGCACACATGCACAGGCACAATTTTGTGGAAGGAAACCACACTTCAGGGGGGCTTCTCCTTTCCCAGTCCCCCTCCCACCTCCTGCTCCCCTGCTCTGAACAACTCCTGCCATCCCCCACCAGGGCCTGGAACTCCTAAGTGTGGCCAGTGGCCAGGAGCATTGGGACACAGGGAGCCACTGAGACAGGCCGACTCTGAGCTCCCAGGCCGGCTGCACCACAGTCTCTGCTTTAACTAGGCCCTGGATGCGTCACATTAAGGAAGAGAAACGCTAGAGTGACTCTCCCAGTCTCGGGCTGTGCCACGATCTCCGCAGAAGCGCATCTGGCCACGTTACTCCCTTACTCAAGAACCTGAGATGGCTCGGCTCCCACTTACTCTCAGGTAACGTGCTGGCCCTCCCCCATGCAATCTGGCTTCAGCGAGCAAAGCGCCCCCCCATCGTCTGCATCTGCTTGCACTGGCTGCCCACTCCAGTCTCTCCCACCTTGCCATCCTTTGGGCTCAGCAAGGATCGTCTCCTCTAGGATGACTCCCTGGAGTGTCTGAGCCTCCACCCACTCCCCGACCAGGTGTGCCCTACAGGAGTTTACCATCTCCCCTTTAGAGCAGGTGCCTGGCCCCTCGGTCTGACCCTACTCTTCTCTCTGCAGCTGACAAACCCTGTGTCCTCTGAAGTCAGCCAGATGAGCTGGATACAGGCCAGCAGCAGGATGCCACCTTGGGACCAGCCCATTAGGAGACGCCTGCTGCGAGGAGCCGGTGCGTCCTTCCTGCTGCCCCACACACGCACCTCGGACCCGGAGGGCAGCCACGGTCTTGATGCCCTCAGCCTCCGCGGTGATCTGGCCGGCATCCTCCAGGGCCAGGCCCAGGATAGTCAGGCTGTGGCTGGCACCCTTCTGCGATATGAGAAACTTCTCGCTGGACTGTAGCTTGACGTCATCCCGGAACCACGTCACCGCCACGTCGCTGGGAGTCACCACGCACTGGAAGGTGGCCTCGCAGCCCTCCTCCGCAACCACTGCGCTCAGCCCAGACGTGAACTTGACCACGCGGGGGACTGCTGACAAGAGCTCCACTTGAGAGGCGGTTAGGAGGGGCAGGGGCCCCCACCTAGCAGACGCCGCGGAAGGACACCTCTTCGGGAAGCAGCCCTGGAATGCTCCGCCAAGCCACCCACCCACCTGGGCGGCCCAGCCCCTGTGCCCGGCATCCGCATACCGCTCACGGTGAGCATGGCGCTGGTGTGGTCGTCGCGGCTCTCGCACACGTACTCCCCCGCATCTTCCGCCCGCAGGTCCGACACAGTGAGCGAGCGCTGAAGTCCCGCAGCCGCCATCTGGAAGCGTTTGCCGGCCCGGAGTTGCGTGTTCCCACGGCGCCACACCACCTGGGCCTGTGCCGGGCTCAGCTCGCAGACCAGCTTCACTGTGCCGCCCAGCTCCCCGCTCACGGGCTCCAGGGGACGGCAGAACTTGGCAGCCACCTCTGGGGGAGGGGAAGGGAGGGGACGTCAGCCTGGTGGGGCTCGGGCCATAGGACCAGCTCTGAGCTGCCCGGTTGTGCGCCCTGAGCCTCACCCAGTCTCCACTCCAGGACGCTGCAAACAAGGGGTTCCCAGACGGCCTCCCCGTGGCCCCACTCACCTTCCACTTGCACCAGGAAGTCCTGCTCCTCTGCGCCCAGGCGGCAGCAGTAGACGGCACTGTCCAGGATCTGCACGCCACGCACCGTCAGGGTGTGGGTGTCCCCCAGGCTGGCCGTCTCGTGCCGCTTGCTGCTGCGAATCTCCACACCATCCTTGAGCCAAGTCACTGCGGCCACAGAGGGTGCGGCCAGCGTGGCTGTCAGGACGATGTCCTCGTGTTCCCTGACCACCAGAGGTTCCCTGCGTCTGGGTCTCTCCAGGGTCGGGGGCTCAAGTTCCGGCTCTGGGGGGCGGGGGCGGGGGGTGACCAACAAGCATTAGAGGGGAGACCCTCGCATCCCTGGCCTGGGTCCCGTCCCCCCTCCAGGCCACGTGGTGGGAGAAGACTTGAAATGAAAGTGCCCGGGCGGTCCAGCTCTCCACTGCTGCCTCTCTGCTGAGCAAGCCAGACAGTGAATGCAACAGGGCCACACTCTGTGCCAGGCACCATCCCGGCTCACAGGGGCAGTGCAGGGCAGCCAGGAGGGACCACCTGGGGCCACAAGCTCTGTCCCACCAAAAGCTGAGAGTCGAGGATCCCTGCCCCCACCCCCAAGGGAAGATGGGCCCCATGAGCAGCTAATGCAGGGAAAGTAAGGCACACAGTGACCCTGACACAGCCTGGGGGCTGGGCCAAAATTCCAGAAGAGCAGTGGGGAGCAGGGCCAGGAAGGGAGGCAGAGGAGGACGGTCTCGGTAGAAGAACCCCCATGCGGAGTGGAGAGACCAGGCAAAGACGGAGAGGGATGAAACAGCCTGAGAGCCTCCAGCAGCCCAGCATGGGGGCAAAGCCAAGGCAGAGAAGGGGGAAGGGGAAGGCCCTGGGTGGGGACCCAAGAGCATCCCTGTGAGGGCTGACCCAGGGGAGCACTTGGAAGGACCACACTGGCTGCTGGATTGGGGGCAAGGGCCACAGCTGGGGACGGGGACAGTGTCAGCCACCTCAGGACACTGAAACCCAGTGATGTCATCGGCAGCCAGGAGGGACGGGAGCAGGCAACAAACCAGCTTGGCTCAGACCCAGGATAGGATGGGCATCTGAGCAGAGGCCGACACAATGGGCTGACCTCAATGCATCTGGACGGTCAGGGCCCCAAGGCCAGAGACGGGGACTCCAGACCCAATGGGGGCAGGGGCATCCAAGGCCAGAAGCTCCTCAGAGCAGGACTGGGCTCCACAGCTGCCCATGAAGACTTAATATGGGAACAGTGCCCCTTGCCAACGACAGACAAAGAATGGCCATTTCAGCAGACTACAGGCCTTAGCAGCCTGCAGATGACTGAGAAAGCCTGTGGCAGGTTTCATGCTGGGAGAGGTGGGGATGTGATGGAGAGATGCAGGAACCTGGGGAAGCAGATGCCAAGAGTGTCCCGGACCAGGGGCTGTGGCAAGCATCCCACAACTCAAGGACCTTCCCAGTGGACAGCGCCCCGGGGCTGACTGCATCAGAGGAGAACCCAGCACAGGCCCAACACACACATGTCCCCCACCCTGCTGGAGATGTGCTAATTTCCCCCAATTTGTCAGGTGCTCAGCCTCTACACCCAACCCTGGCACCCACCTGTGACATCCAGGTGGAAGGAGACCCTCTGGCCCCCGGCCTCGCAGCTGTACTCCCCGGCGTCTGCCTTGCCCGCCTGCTGCACCACCAGCCTCCGGGTGCAGCCCGTGGCCTCCACACGCACTCTTGAGCTCGAACTCAGCTTCTTCCTGTTCTTGTACCACGTCGCCTCCGTCTGGGCCTGGGCCACCTCGCAGCTCAGCGTGGCACTGGCCCCCGCCACGGCCTGCACTTCACTGCGTGCCGGCTGCTCCTTGGCAAACACCACCATAGGCTCTGGGGACAGGGAGGGATGCAGAGAGGCAAAAACACCATCTCAGTCAAGAAGGCAGCACTAGGGAAAAAAGGCCTGGACAGATGGGAAGGGGGGCTGGAAACTTCTCCAGGCTCTGGGCTAGTTGTGCAACAAGTACCCACAATTTATCTATACATTCTACCACTGATCTGTGCATGTTGTTCCAAGTGGGGACTTTGTGAAAGATTTCTTCCATGCACATATTCCTCTAGGAAAGGAACTGTGGGATCAGGAGGCATGCACACCTCAACCTTCCTAGAGGATGCAGAGTCTTTCCCACACAACTGAGCAGAGCACGTTCCCACCCACAGTGCAGGAGAGTTCCTGAGGCTCCATGCTGTTGGCAGCTGTTGGCAGTCTGGTAGTTGTACTTCCTGAGCTCTCTTTTGCATGGTCCTGATGATTCAGAGTGGAGCACCATTTCTGATCTTTTTGGCTTTTGGTGTTTGCCCTTCTGTAGTATCATTGCAAGGCTTTTGCCCAGTTAGCAGTAGCATTGTCTGTCTTTTCCTTATTCATTTTCAGGAACTCTTTATATATTTATGTTAGAACTTTGAGAATTATGGGTGTGTAAATAACTTCTCCATCTTTGTCACTTGTTTTGTCATCTTTTATGTGTCTTCTGTTGATATAGTTCTTAGTTTTAATACAGGCAAGTATGTCAATTTGTCCCTTGTGATTAATGCATTTATATCCTATTTAAGAAGTCTTTTATTACCCTCAGGTCATTAAATAATCTATATTAGCTGCTAAGAGCTTGCTTTATCTTTCACATTGGAGTCTCTAACCCACCTGGAGTTGGTGTTTGTGTGTGCTGCGAGGGAGATGTCCATTTTTATTATAGAGGAATAGATATAAAAATAGAGATATATGTATACAGTTACATGGTATTAGCACAGTTTATGAAAAGACCATCCTTTCTCTATACCACACACTAGCACTACAGAGTTAAAAAACAGAAAAGGGATGGGGGAGTCTGGTTATGTGCGGGGCTGTTTCAGAGCTCACTATTCTGTTCCTTTGTTCTGTGTATTTATCCCTGCATTGAAACCCAGTTGTCTTCACTACTGTAGCTTTATAATAAGTTTGGCATCTTGCAGATGAAATGCTCTCACTTTATGAGTGCTGCGGTTCCACTTGACTCTTGGAATCAACTAGTCAATTTTGACACACCCACAAAAGGACTTTTCTTTGGGTTTTGATTAGGAGTGGACATCTTTGTGTCTTCCATGCATATCCCACCATTCATTTAGCACTGTCTCCCTAAAGTATTTAATAATATCCTCCTCAGAAGCCTTAAACATATTTTATTAGACATGGAATTAGAAGCATGATACTTTTGATGCTATTATAATTGTCTTAAAATATCCTTTTCTGACTCTTTGTTGCTAGTACATCAACATAGAAGCGTTTTCTGTATATTTTGTATGTGGCAGTCTTCCTTAACTTCCTTACTAACTCTAAAAATTCTTCCTTTTCTACCTTCTGCATTAATAATCTTCTCATCGGTGAAGTCCACTTTTACTTTATCTAAATGTTATTGCTTTATATTCCTCCTTATAGGCTGTACAATGTTGGACACGAGTTCTGATAGTGGAGCCACTTGAAATGCTCCAGTTAAAAAGAAAAGCTTTCAAGGTTTCCCTATAAGTGTGATGTTTGCTGTGGTTTTCTTTAGCACCCTGTATCAAATTAAGAAACTATCCTTTTGTTACTAGTTTATTAAGAAGTTTATTAATATGAATATATGCTACTACATTTCATAAAACTCTTATTCTGAATATGATGTAAAAAATTTATCAAGCACTTTTATTCTGCATTCTTCTAGGTAAAAACATGCTTTTTCTCTTTTAGTTTCTTAACATTATAGATTGTATTGATTTTTCTTATGTTCTGATGTTGAACCACCTTGCATTCCTGGATTAAGATCTGAGTGTATTGTGCTTTTCATGCATGGCTCCACTCACTTTGCCAATACTTTGTATAGGATTTTGATATTGACATCCATAAAAGATTGGCCTGTAATTTCAATTCTTTATACTTTCTTTGTCAGATTTTGGTATCGATGCTATATGCTAGCTACATAAAATGAGTTAAAGAGCATATATATATATATATATATATATACACACACACACACACACACATATCCATATATATCCATATATATGTATATCTCCATATATACATATATATATGTATATCCCCTTCAAAGCTTTTGCACAGCAAAGGAAACCATAAACAAGACCAAAAGACAACCCTCAGAATGGGAGAAAATATTTGCAAATGAAGCAACCAACAAAGGATTAATCTCCAAAATTTACAAGCAGCTCATGCAGCTCAATAACAAAAAAACAAAAACCCAATCCAAAAATGGGCAGAAAACCTAAATAGACATTTCTCCAAAGAAGATATACAGACTGCCAACAAACACATGAAAGAATGCTCAACATCATTAATCATTAGAGAAATGCAAATCAAAACTACAATGAGACATCATCTCACACCAATCAGAATGGCCATCATCAAAAAATCTAGAAACAATAAATGCTGGAGAGGGTGTGGAGAAAAGGGAACACTCTTGCACTGCTGGTGGGAATGTGAATTGGTACAGCCACTATGGAGAACAGTATGGAGGTTCCTTAAAAAACTACAAATAGAACTACCATATGACCCAGCAATTCCACTACTGGGCATATACCCTGAGAAAACCATAATTCAAAAAGAGTCATGTACCAAAATGTTCATTGCAGCTCTATTTACAATAGCCAGGACATGGAAACAACCTAAGTGTCCATCATCAGATGAATGGATAAGGAAGATGTGGCACATATATACAATGGAATATTACTCAGCCATAAAAAGAAACGAAATTGAGCTATTTGTAATGAGGTGGATGGACCTAGAGTCTGTCATACAGAGTGAAGTAAATCAGAAAGAGAAAGACAAATACCATATGCTAACACATATATATGGAATTTAAGAAAAAAAATGTCACGAAGAACCTAGGGGTAAGACAGGAATAAAGACACAGACCTACTAGAGAATGGACTTGAGGACACCAGAAGCAGGAAGGGTAAGCTGGGACGAAGTGAGAGAGTGGCATGGACATATATACACTACCAAATGTGAAATAGATAGCTAGTGGGAAGCAGCCGCATAGCACAGGGAGATTAGCTCAGTGCTTTGTGACCACCTAGAGGGGTGGGATAGGGAGGGTGGGAGGGAGGGAGATGCAAGAGGGGAAGAGATATGGGAACATATGTGTATGTATAACTGATTCACTTTGTTATAAAGCAGAAACTAACACACCATTGTAAAGCAATTATACTCCAATAAAGATGTAAAAAAATACAAAAATATATGTATATCCCTTTTCCATTCTCTTAAAGAATTTCGATGAATATGGAATAATTTCTTTCCAGAATATTCTATATAAATTGCCAGTAGAGCCACTGAGCTTAATCTTGTTCTATGAGAAGATTCTTTTATTATGTTTCCATTTAGTTAAAAGGTTATTAGACTGTTCAAGTTGTTAATTTCTTCTTGTGTAAGTTTTGGTATAATTTTCTAAGAATTGGCCACTATTTCAAAACTTTTCAAATTTACTTGTGTGAAATAATATCGTGTTTTATTATAATAATGTCAAATGATTCATAGTGGGTTTCTTGGTATCTATATACACCTATGAATCATTATATACTAATACGATACCAAACTGTTATGTGGTGGCACTTAGGAGTCAATGCAGGACCACAGCCCATCTCTATTTGAGGTTAACCTCTCTTAACAAAAGGAAACTAAAGTTAGTTCGCAGACATCTCTGTGAACCAGCCCAGAAGGTACAGACACACACAAGAGTCATTAGGAAATGATATGAAATAAATACCACTTACCAGTCAGTGGCTGCTACTACCATACCTCATCTTTAACAAAGCATGCTAGTGTAAGAAAAGCTCCTTACTACTCTCCATTTCTAAATTTACACATCAAACTCCAAAGGAAATACTGACACAGAATATACTAATTGAAAGACAAAAGGAAACCAAAATTTGCTTTCAGATGAATGTGCCATGTCTCAGAGGTGCATATCAAAGACATATACCTACCAACCCTCTTCTCTTACTTTGCACAGACATTGCAACAGAACAGGAACCTATATTTTGCAACATTTGGGTACATACATAACTTCTACAACCATGTGCAAGGAAGGAAGAGTGTCCCAAGACAACTAAAACTTTGCTGATCCAAAATTCAGACTTGAGGTAATGCCAAGTATGATTATGTGCCTGAAACTTCCCCTTATCAGGTTCAAAGAAATACAAACGTCTCTGATTAGGGCGAATCCTCATACGGTGCTGGGTGAGGGAATCTGGATGCTGCTAGAACATCCAAAAGTACATTCACATATCCTGAGGTGAGAGACATCTGGTCTACTCGAGACCCCAAGGGCAAGATGGAGCCAGGGTCCTGGACACCAAAGATCACCTGGAACATTACAACATGGAAACACCACTCATGGTGCACAAGAGGGGACACTTTTCCTTCCATACACCCCCTTCCCATCCAGTGTCCCTGGGATCAGGCACAAACATGAAAGTGGGAGGTGGGGAGATGGGAGATGTAAAGAGATTAAATGTGACGGAAAGACCACTGGGTCTGTCACGGCTGTAAGCCAGTCACATCTCCATAAAGGGCTAATTTAGCATCCCTCCCAAATAACTGACCTGTGACATCCAGGTGAAAGGAGACCCTCTGGCCCCTAGCTTCACAGCTGTACACTCCAGCATCCACCTTCCCTGCCTGCTGCACCACCAGCTGCCGGGTGCAGCCCTTGGCTTCCACACGCACTTTCGAGCTCGAACTCAGCTTCTTTCCATCCTTGTACCACGTCACCTCCGTCTGGGCCTGGGCCACCTCGCAGCTCAGCGTGGCACTGGACCCCGCCACGGCCTGCACTTCACTGCGTGCTGGCTGCTCCTTGGCAAACACCACCTTGGGCTCTGGGGACAGGGAGGGATGCATAGGGTCAAAGATACCATCTAAGTCAAGATGCAGCACTGTGGAAAGAACGACTAAACAGGAAGGCAGGAAGACAGGAAACTTCTCCAGGCTTTGCACCAGCTGTGTGACCTAGAGAAGCTCCACCACCTTCTCAGCAACAAGTGACACACTTTATTTCTACGTTCTCCTGATCTATGTAGGCTGTTCCGGTGAGAAGCTGGGAAAGACTTCTCCCCTGCACAAATCCTCTAGGAGAGGAGCCGTAGAGTCATGCATTCCTCAGCCTTCCTAGATGAGGCCAGAGTCTTTCCCATACAGTTGTGCAGGTCATGTTCTCATCTGCAGTGAATGAGAGTTCCTGAGACTCCACCCTCTTGCCTATTCTCAGTATTGTCGACTGTTGGCAACCTGGTGGGAGTGAATTTACACCATCTGGCTGTCTATTGCATGGTCCTGATGATTCACAAAGTGAAGAATCTTTATGAATTTTTTGGTCATTCTGTGGTTTACTCTTCTGTGGTGTCACTGTTCAAGTTTTCCACAAGTTTCAAAATTAGCATTGTCTGTTTTTTCCATATTCATTTAGGAGCTCTTTATATAAATAAATGCTATAGAGTGTTGATGCTTATGTGTGTTTACCTGTCCTCCCCATTTTCATGCTCTACCTTTTCATTCCTTTATGATGTTTCTGGTGAAATTAAGTTATTTAATTAAGTCTGTTACAGGCAGATATATCAATTTGATATCAATTTGTCCTTTGTGGTTTCTGCATTTATGTTCTGTTTAAAAATCCTTCATTATCCTGAGGTCATTAAATAACCTCTATTATCTGATAAAAGCTTGTTCTACCTTTCATACAGAGGTCTCTAACCTGCCTGGAGTTGGTTCTTTGTGTTCTAGGAGGTAGATTCCAGTGTTATTTTATTTTTCCATATAGTTAATGGTCTTAGTACCATTTATGAAAAGACCCTCCTTTCTCTCCACCTCAGCGTGAACTCACCATTCCAGTCCCTTGGGCTATTTATCTCTGCACTGAGACCCACTTGTCCAAACTGCTGTAACTTAAAATAAAAGTCTTGATTTAGGTTAGAGCAAATGTCCTCATTCTGTTCTTTGACTGGCTTTTGCAATCAACTTGTCAATATTCTCACACCCAAAAGACCTATTATTTGGGGTTTAATGGGAATTGAACACTTCTAGGTCTTCCATAGATTCGTATCCATTTATTTGTATCTTTTTGCCTGCCTCTCTACAATGTCTAATCATTTCTCCCACAAAGTGTCTCAAGATCCTTTCTTAGACTTGGGACCGGTAAAATGACCCATCTAATGTTATTGTAACTCTGAAAATTTCATTTTCCAGTTTCTTGTTTCTGGTATATAGCTATAGAACTGTTTTCTGTATTTTTTTTTTGGTACATGGGCCTCTCACTGTTGTGGCCTCTCCCATTGCAGAGCACAGGCTCCGCACACGCAGGCTCAGTGGCCATGGCTCATGGGCCCAGCCGCTCCGCGGCATGTGGGATCTTCCCGGACCAGAGCATGAACCCATGTCCCCTGCATCGGCAGGTGGACTCTCAACCACTGCGCCACCAGGGAAGCCCTCTATATTATTTTTGTATGCGGTAATGTTTCGCAACTCTCTTACTAAGTGTAGTAATTAATGTTTCTAGATTTTCTAAACTGATAATCATATCATCTGTGAGTTCCAATTTCCCTCCTTACTGTGCTATAAATGTAGCATTACAGTGGTGAAAATTGGTTTCCTTGTCTTGTTCCCTACTTCAAAGGCAATGCTTTCAAGTTTCACTTTATGTGCAATGTTAGCTAGTTTTCTCTACACTACCAATTATTAAATGAAAGAAGAACATTTTATTTATACTTTGGTAAGAATTTTATGGCAGGAATTGATGCTAAATTTTATCAAGTATTTCTCCTGGATATATGATGTTATATTTCATTAAGTATTTTTAATCTCCATTTATTGGGGAAATAGTATCATTTTTCTTTTATTTTCTTGACATCAATCTTTCTATACATTTTCTACCGTTCCTTGTGTTAGATAAACCTTGCACTCCTGCAATAGGACTGTTCTCAGAGTGTATTTTCCTCTTGATAACCTGTTGAATTCAGTTTGCTACTATTTTGTTGAAGATATTAGCCTTGATATCATCAATAAATTAAACTGTGTTACTTCTTCATATTTACCTTATCAGATTTTGGTATCAATGATATGTTCTACACATAAAATGAATTAGAGAGTGTATTCCATTTATCAATACTACAGAAGAATCTGTATGAACATGGAATAATTGCATTCCAGAATACTCAGCACAATTTAACAGTGGAGTGAGTGGGTTTAGATTTCTGCTGTGAGATTATTTATTATGGTTCCATTTATTTAAAAGACTATCAGCTGGCAGAAAAAGCTTTCGACAAAATTCAACACCCATTTATAATAAAAACCCTCCAGAAAGTAGGCATAGAGGGAACTTACCTCAACATAATAAAGGCCATATATGACAAACACACAGCCAACATCATTCTCAATGGTGAAAAACTGAAAGCATTTCCTCTAAGATCAGGGACAAGACAAGGTTGTCCACTCTTACCACTCTTATTCAACATAGTATTGGAAGTTTTAGCCACAGCAATCAGAGAAGAAAAAGAAATAAAAGGAATCCAAATCGGAAAAGAAGAAGTAAAGCTGTCACTGTTTGCAGGTGATATTATACTATACATAGAGAATCCTAAAGATGCTACCATAAAACTACTAGATCTAATCAATGACTTTGGTAAAGTAGCAGGATACAAAATTAATGCACAGAAATCTCTTGCATTCCTATACACTAATGATGAAAAATCTGAAAGAGAAATTAAGGAAACATTTGCATTTACCATTGCAACAAAAAGAATAAAATACCTAGCAATAAACCTACCTAAGGAGACAAAAGACCTGTATGCAGAAAACTATAAGACACTGATGAAAGAAATGAAACATAATACAAACAGATGGAGAGATAGACCATGTTCCTGGACTGGAAGAATCAACATTGAGAAAATGACTATACTACCCAAAGCAATCTACAGATTCAATGCAATCCCTATCAAACTACCAATGGCATTTTTTACAGAAGTAGAACAAAAAATTTCACAATTTGTATAGAAACATAAAAGACCCCGAATAGCCAAAGCAATCTTGAGAAAGAAAAACAGAGTTGGAGGAATCAGGCTCCTGGACTTCAGACTATACTACAAAGCTACAGTAATCAAGACAGTATGGTGCTGACATGAAAACAGAAATATAGATCAATGGAACAGGATAGAAAGCCCAGAGATAAACCCGTGCACATATGGTCACCTTATCTTTGATAAAAGAGGCAAGAATATACAGTGGAGGAAAGACAGCCTCTTCAATAAGTGGTGCTGGGAAAGCTGGACAGGTACATGTAAAAGTATGAAATTAGAACACTCCCTAACACCATACACAAAAATAAACTCCAAATGGATTAAAGACCTAAATGTAAGGCCAGACACTATCAAACTCTTAGAGGAAAACAAAGGCATAACACTCTATAACATAAATCACAACAAGATCCTTTTCAACCCACCTTCTAGAGAAATGGAAATAAAAACAAAAGTAAACAAATGGGACCTAATGAAACTTAGAAGCTTTTGCAGAGCAAAGGAAACCATAAACAAGACGAAAACACAACCCTCAGCATGGGAGAACATATTTGCAAATGAAGCAACTGACAAAGGATTAATCTCCAAAATTTACGAGCAGCTCATGCAGCTCAATATCAAAAAAACAAACAACCCAATCCAAACATGGGCAGAAGACCTAAATAGACATTTCTCCAAAGAAGATATACAGATTGCCAACAAACACATGAAAGGATGTTCAATATCACTAATCATGAGAGAAATGCAAATCACAACTACAATGAGGTATCACCTCACACCAGTCAGAATGACCATCATCAAAAAATCTACAAACAATGAATGCTGGAGAGGGTGTGGAGAAAAGAGAACCCTCTTGCACTGTTGGTGGGAATGTAAATTGATACAGCCACTATGGAGAACAGTATGGAGGTTCCTTAAAAAACTACAAATAGAATTACCATATGATCCAGCAATCCCACTACCTGGTATATACCCTGAGAAAACCATAATTCAAAAACAGTCATGCAGGGCTTCCCTGGTGGCGCAGTGGTTGAGAGTCCACCTGCCGATGCAGGGGACACGGGCTTGTGCCCCAGTCCGGGAAGATCCCACATGCCACAGAGCGGCTGGGCCTGTGAGCCATGGCCACGGAGCCTGTGCGTCCGAAGCCTGTGCCCCGCAACGGAAGAGGTCACAACAGTGAGAGGCCCGTGTACCCCCCCCCCAGAAAAAAGAGTCATGTACTACAATGTTCATTGCAGCTCTATTTACAATAGCCAGGACATGGAAACAACCTAAGTGTCCATCAACAGATGAATAGATAAAGAAGATGTGGCACATATATACAATGGAATATTACTCAGCCACAAAAAGAAAGGAAATTGAGTTTTTTGTAGTGAGGTGGATGGACCTGGAGTCTGTCATACAGAGTGAAGTAGTCAGAAAGAGAAAAACAAATACCATATGCTAACACATATATATGGAATCTAAAAAAAAAAAAAAGGTTCTGAAGAACCTTGGGGCAGGACAGGAATAATGATGCAGACATAGAGAGTGGTCTTGAGGACATGGGGAGGGGCAAGGGTAAGCTGAGACAAAGTGAGAGAGTGGCATGGTCATATATACATTACCAGATGTAAAATAGCTAGCTAGTGGGAAGCAGCCACATAGCACAGGGAGATCAGCTCCCTGCTTTGTGACCACCTAGGGGGTGGGATAGGGAGGATGGCAGGGAGACGCAAGAGGGAGGAGATATGGGGATATATGTATATGTATAGCTGATTCACTTTGTTATAAAGCAGAAACTAACACACCATTGTAAAGCAATTATACTCCAATAGAGATGTTAAAAAAAATGATTATCGGCTGTACAACTTGTCTATTTTCCATTGTGTGAGTTTTGCCATAGTTTCTAGGAATTGATCAATTTGTAATCCTCTGTTCTTTGTGAATTTTGTATTCACATTGCAGCAAAATATGGATCTATATTTTGCTCCATCTGTGTTCAGAGAGCTTACTTATCAATATGAAAATTGCTGTCCCAGGACACCTGAAACTATAATACAAAATTCAGCCATGAAATAATTCCAAGTATTATTGTGTGACCAACATTTTCCCTTATTCTGCTTCAATGAATTG